TAAAGAGAGCCACTGTTCCAAAGGGCACATGGTTCCCTTCCAAAAGATGGGCGCAGTGCCTAATTGCTCAGTGCAGTTCAGCTGGCAGGAAAGCAACGCAGCAGGCATAACATTAGACGGATTTGTATGATCTTCAGATACCAATTCAGCATTTCAGTTCAGTGATTTATTTATAACTGACTGTCACCCAACAAAATCTCGATGTAAAGCAAATCAGAAGTGTTTTTTTCTTGTTGACAACTTGACATTATGCATCATGATACAGACATATGTTTTTAGGTATCATCCAGAGGATTTCTAATCGGTCCATTCGGCTTCCAGAAATTTCAATTCAGATCATGTTGTTGTGATCTCTGATCTGTACTCCCTCTTGTACAGTTGTACTGGCTGTTTGCTTATTCAAATCTTCAGACATGCAGTGCACCACTGTCATCAGGTATCCCCATTCAACTTGATCCTGCAGACCATGAAAGTGGCAGATTTATCATGACTATATCAGATTTCAAACTCCCGTATGCAAACAAGGTACCGCACTCGCAAAAAGGAAAAATCTTAATGCAGTGATTCGAATCACGTCCTGTTCTCCCTCTCCCTTTGCGTCTCTGCTTGTTGATATTGATGCTTAATGCTATATTATACGCTTTGGTATCTCCCAGACGATTTGGAAACTGGAATCAGGCCATTCGGCTTAGGGATTTCAATGATCAGGGCGTGGATTTTTTCGAAAATGCTGCGCGTCGGGCGCCGAGCGGCTGAAGAAAAAAATCGGACGCCTCCAACCACGTAATAAGTATTTTAAATAGCTTTAAAATAATTTTTCTTCTCAACTAATTATCCAATCTACGATCCGATCACACCGTTATATTCGTTGCAATTAAATCTTTATAACAAGATCACACATGATTATATTTCGATAAAAAAATATTTTAGCTTTTTTATTGATATTGTTTTAGAATGCTGCATATGGTTTTTTTTATGTTTCGACCAGTAATTTTACAATGTTTCAGCTAGTGTACTCGTGATGTTTCACTATGTACTGATCAAATTTTGCAGTGGATTTTAATATTATGGGACGCGTCGTTGCAACAAATCACACATATATTTTGGAAACTCTCTATTAAGAGAATTTGTTTCTTTTTTTTCACTAAAAAGTTTCACCTAGTGTACTCACAATGTTTCACTTTATATAGATCTAATGTTGCAGCAAACTAAAACATTCCATTGCAACAAAAAAAATTCACATATTTTGGAAACCCCCTATTAAGGGAATTCGTTTCATTTTTTGTTCCACCGAAAAATGTTTCACCTAGTATACTCACAATGTTTCGCTATGTATGGATCATATATTGCAGTGAACTTACATTCTTTTGCTATTTGCTGAAACATTGTTTTTTATATAAGGTGAAACAACACCCGATTTAAACGAGTGAAACATTTTCACTCTACTTAGTGAAACAATTCCGATATACCTAGCGGAACATCGTGTAATCTATTATATACTAAAAGTCCATTAAACTTTCTACAAACGCTCCTAAACCGCTACATGGCTCCTAGAAACACTCCCATACCATCACGTGGCGCTCTAACAAATTATAGAAATTCCAAGAAAAAAACAAACATCCGATCATTGATTTTCACTTCACATGGTGGACCCATCGTTTTACAACATTAGATCTATCTTATATATTAAAAATATATTCAAAAAACCCATCCATATCCCCTCCGTCATGTACATACCTAGGTACTCCTCTCTCCTTTCTTCCATTTATAGGAAGCAAAGTTTTTTATATTAAAATATCAATCTATTATTATATAGTAAAAATCCATTACACTTCCTATAAATATTCTTAAATCACGTGGTGTTCCTATAAATACTCGTACGCCGTCACATGATATTGTTTAATCTCACGGTCGATTTTCATTTAAATTGATAGATCCGTTATTTTAGATCACTAGATTAGATGTATTATTTAAAAAAGTAATAATTCCCTCGTGTATATTGTGGGCCGGAATATAAGAAACCAAACAAAATACTCCGTGTACGTACGTACGTACGACTGGAAAATAAAAGATGAAGCTTACCTACTGTTCCTAGAAGAAAGAAATCATACGTACGGACTTACGATAAAAACGATAAAATAAAAAAAAAACATACGTAACATACGTACGTACTGCCATTGAAAAAAAACAATGGTCTATAACATAGGATTTTCTACTATTTAAAAAATAAAATATAATACTCTATAAACTTGCGCAAATATATGTAGTTAAAATAGATCTTCAACAATAAAAAAATATCCTATCATTAAACATCATTTAAATTATTTTAAAATTATATATCTAATGTGTGATCAAGTCGGATTCCTATAATTAAATAAATATTGATGTATATATACCTAAATACATCATAACACATGAGACCGACATATAATAAATAATGTTATCATAATATTTTAAAGGAAAAAGGACAAAGTACCCCCGAATTATTATGGTCGACCGAATTACCCCCATAAACCCGAAAGCTACACATCTTTCACCCTCAACTATTAATACCGAACGAATTACTAGTTGTCTTAACCCGGGGTGGTTTTGATCCTACGTGGCAGTCCAGTCAGTATTTTCTAAAAAAAATTGGTGGGACCCACCTATCATATCTCCCCCTCCCCTCTTCCCCCTCTCTCACTTTCTTATCCCTCCACGTTTGTCAATCGACAAGGCTGGGGACGACGAGCGGCGGGGCGAAGGAGTATGAGTGGTGAGTGGCGGACGCGGCTAGGGGCGACGAGCAGTGGAGGCGGCTCCTCCTCAGCCTCCGCTGGTGCGCACCTCCTTGACGACCGCGTGGCTTCTCCACGGCCTCCACCGGCACGCGAAGAGGACAACAACGGCGGGGCGGAGGAGCTTGAGTGGTGGAGGCAGCGAGCGGTGGAGGCGGCTCCTCCTCGGCTATCTCAGCCGCCACATGCGCACTCCGACGGATGCCATCGTCTCCATCCTTTTTGTCACATCTCATCATCACATGACAGTCGGCGGAGCGAGCAGGTGCGCTGGTCCTCCATTGCCAGGTTCGGTTGCACCCCCGCCATCGAGAACTCCCCTAAAAAATGCGGTCGCAGCTCCATCTACCATAGCATGCCATCCCACCACGTTTCTTAATCGATCCCCACCACCAATGCCTCTCTCCTGACGAGACAAAAAGCAACAATCAATCAAAGAACAACGAGGTGGATCAATCGTGAGAGCAAGAGCAGGGCAATAGATGAAGGAGAAGGACAAGAGAGTTGAGGCGGTGAAGACCCTGCAGCAAGGGGAGGGAGAAGAAAGACAGGCTGGGGAAAGGGATTGAGGAAGAGAGGGAGAGATAGGGGAGAGGGGAGAGAGATAGAGAGGGTAGAGGGTGTGACATGTAGGTCTCACCTATTTTATTTTTTTAAAAAAATACCGACTGGATTGTCACGTAGGAATAAAACCACTCCAGGTTGAGTTAGGGGGTAATTCGTCCGGTATTAATAGTTGAGGGTGAAAGATGTCTGGTTTCGGGTTTAGGGGGCTAATTCATACTTTTTTCTATTTTAAATAATTTCACATCATATTTCAGGTGTCAAATATCACTTGATGACTATATAGCGCTAATTTAAATTTACGTATGTAAAATAAATGAAAATAACACAATTTAGTTGTGTATTTTTAAGTAAATCTGATTTACTTTTAATTTGTTTGAAAACAACACAATTTTGGTTGATAATCTGTTTGATTTTTTACAACTATTTCATTAGTATCTGATAAGTGGGAAACATAAATGTTACACATATGTAAAAAATATGAAAAATATTTTAAGCCAATGATCTTGCTATAATACAACCACTTAATCCATCATAAGATTTATGGTCATATATGTATGTTTTTGTCTTTTTCAAATAGTTTTGATAACAAATGAACAATCAAGTAACATGCACAATAAACTATTTATGATATATTTTCTAATAGTTGAGGAATTCCTACACATCAGACATAATTTGATGGATGTATGTTATACACCCTATTGACGTGTCTATAAAGTATTCTTCAATAAATTATTTATTGTAAATAAGTTTAGGAAAATAGATTCATTCATCAAATTAATTAGTAAAAGTGTCTCATATAATTATGAACAATTAATAGGCGTTGAAAAAACCAAACGCAAAAGTATTGATATTTATCAAAATATAACAAATAATATGGTGCTTTGGAGATTATCGTGGTAGCATTTAAAAAACATTTATCCTGATTAAAAAAATCACATATAGTATAAATAGATATGAAACAACTCCAGTATTCCATTATTATTCCATTATCATGACACGTGTTTAAAAAAACATGTTTAAAATAGAGTCAAGATCTATTTTAAAAATATCAACTACACGTAAACATTCATAATAAAAAATCAATCAACATTAAATAAGTGCCCGCGCACACATGCGCGGGCTACTTTCCTAGTATTTAAAAATAATTCAATAATATGCTAATTTTTTTTCGTCGGAATATACCATGTGTGGTTTTGTTTTGAAGATTTAATTGCAACGAATTTAATGTTGCAATCGAATCATGATTTGGATAAGTAATTTAAGAGAAAAATCAGTTTTAAAGTAGTTTTGCACGTAAATCGGGCGCTGACGTCAGCGCCTGATTTCCCTAGCCCGGATCGGTAGGCGCGTCCGGATTTTTTGACCTACTTGATCCATGCGTGTTTGCATCTGCAAACGAGTTGATTAAGATTATCACTCGGCCACGTGCACCACATGGCTCGAACACAGAATATAGATGCAGAGGAACCAAAACTGGGGAAGACATTAACGATGTAATCGTCGATCAGCTTCCAAATTCACTGAAATTTGGCGACGTAAGTTCAGAGAACTGACTGTACAAAAAGCCTGAGGCATAACTCCGGTCAGGATTCATAACTGTACAAAAGTTGATTTTCTTTTTTTTTTTTTGGGGGGGGGGGGGCGGGGAGGGGGGGACAGATGAAGTACACTTCTACAATATCAGCAAACTAGTTTCAAAACCAGAATTAGAACTGCAGCCGGTATATTTCAGTATTTGTTCGTGCCGAAAAGTTTAGTGACATCGTCTACCGATACGTGGGAGCAGCTAGCCTTGCAGCCGGAGGGACCAGGACGAGCTCACGGCAGCACGGGCAGGTGCGTCTCGTCGTCAGCCACTCGTCGACGCAGGCGGCGTGGAATGCGTGCCGGCAGCGACCCGGCCGCCGGCACCTCTCGCCGTCGCGCATCTCCTCCAGGCATATGCTGCAGCTCCTGCCGCCGCCGCCGCAGTAGGCGAACCACGGCAGCCGCCGCAGCTGGTCTGGCGTTAAACCGTCCTTATTGTCGCCGCCAACGTCGTCGTCGTCTTCGTCGCTATAATCTGTGTACCAGGAATCAGAGTCGTAAGAGTCATCGACGACGCCGTCGATGTAGGTGTCGTCGTCCTCGCCGACGGCGCACCACCAAGGGAGGACCAACATCGCGACTCCAGCGACGGCGCCGGTGAAGAGTAACAGGGAGAACGGCATCTGCACGAAGAGAAGGATCAGTTTGCGTATCGCCGAAGGCGAAGCAGCGTCGTGATCGGATTTATTGGTTAGCAACTTTGCATTGTCCGATATCGGAATTCGAAACCGACCATGAACATGAAGAGGGGTTGCGAATCAGAAGGGAAGAAGGATAGGGAGGAGGAGAAAGGAACGGGGATTTGTTGAGTTCGAAGGATAAAACGACGGCCCATATACGCTTAGGTGGGCCTACGGTTGTAGGGCCCTTTCACCATCTTCCTCTTTAGTGGGCCGAGGCCGAATGGGCTGGCAGGCGGCGACGCGAGAACAGCCCAATCTTTTACCGACGGCGACCGACGAACGTTCCCGTGTGCGAACAAGGCGCCACGGCCGCGTTCTCACCTCGCTCACTGGCTTCTCCGGCGAGGTGATGCGAGAATTTTTCTTAATGCAGCGGGGCGTACTGCGTGTTCTCCCCCGACCTTTTGCTTGCTATCACTAGAGATTTTCTAGGGATTTTTTTAAAATTTTAATATCTCGAATGAATGTCTCTTTGTTTATCTATAAATCGTCTAAATAGTTATAGAAAATATTTAAAAATTTATAGCATTTTTACAACACATATATCATTTAAAAGATTTTAGATCCAAACACAACTCACACATTGAACTAAAAAAAAGATAATAATGTCGGAAAAAAACCCTAGGGTTCAGGGCTTTAAGTTTGGAAGGTGGTAGAGGGGATAGGGAGGTGGAAGGGAGGCTTTAGAAAGATGGTCTTGGACGGCTATTGGACCTACCATGCAGAGCCGCACGTATGAAGCAGGGTGGCAGGCAGGATCAACAACAATGGCATTGGATCTAGAGCGGTTAGGAGAAAAGGGGGTGAGAACTGAGAAGGGCCAGTGTGGCGGGCCTCACATTTTGCATTCCCTTGTAGAGTGGGGTTTTAAATGTTTACATCTCTGCGACAAAGCCCCATGAAAAAAAGGGCTAAATGAGAATGATGCATTGATAAAAGTGAAAAAAAATATTCCCTCCGTCCTAAAATATAACAATTTTGGGGTTGGATGGGACACATCCTAATCCAATGAATCTAGATAAAAGATTGTCCAAATTCGTTGGACTAAGATATGTCTCATCCAATTCTAAATTATTGTATTTTGGAACGGATATAGTAATAATGTTTGGGAGCATAAAAGATGGTCAAAGAGTGTGGTGCTAACTCAATGGGAAGAATCATTTGTTCGTTCGTCTGTACTGAATAACATGAACGGAACATATGCATCGCATTGACCATGGGAAAAATTCCAAAACCCCCCATCACTGTAGACGTCACCTTTTACTCCATTTTGATTAGCCATCACGTACCCGACCCCTAGACGACCTGAGCGATCGGGACAACCTCACGTCAAACCGCAACCCGGGGGCACGCACACACACGCCGCGGAGACCAACTGGCGAGCCATGCCTGACGCGCGCGCGCGAACGTGGCGGCCATCCTACGAACCTCCACCGTATTCCCACGCCTCGTCTCGCTCCCGGCGTCAGCCGTCGACACACGCTTGGCACAGCCCACGACCACACGAGGAGCAAAGCAAAGTTAAGAAAGCAACGCGACGCGACGCCCTGGCCCCTGCATGCGTGCCGCGCGCGCGGCTGCGGGGGTTTCTCGCGGTAGCGTACGCGCGTCCTCCCGGCTACCAGCTGCCGCGCCGCGCGCGCGCTTTGGCTCAGACCGAATCGAGTCGCAATCGCATCGCATCCCGCGCAAACCTGTGTGTGCCGGGGTGGTGCCGTACGTGGTGGTGAGCGCAACGCAAGCCGCGCGCGTTTGCGGGGAGCGATGTGCATCGGAGTTTCACGGGAAAAAAACACGTACGTCACGTACGAGAAGCGGTGTGCGCGCCCGGTGGTTCGTTCATACGAGCAGCGCACGGGGCAAGCGATCGATCGAACTCCGAGGGAGAAGAAAACTGTCCCGAGTCTCATAAGCGATTCTCAAATACTAACAGTCTAACTGTTGTCAGTTTGTTAACCCCGTTTGAGCACGTGAGTGTGTATGCTCAGCTCGTATGACACGACCAAACCCGGCCGGAGAGATAAAGAAGAGAGGATGCGTGGCACTTATTACGACCTGACGTTGCAAAAGGCACCTTTGAAAAATCGTGTCCGGAAATAGTAACGTGCATGGGTTTTTTTCTGTGTCAGTTTTGTCTTGCCCGTGCACCAAAACACAAGAGTTAATACAGGGTAGTCTATTGTGTGTCTACTCCTAGAGAATTACTGTAGATAATACCCCACCTCAAGGTGAATTAACCATCGCCCGCCTCCATATGAGTTGTGACAAAATAAAAAGGATATATGTAATGTAACTAGCTAGTTGTCGAACAACATCGATCATCATCATCTCGCGCAGTCGGCCCCAAGATGTGCAACAAGCACGGGATATTACCGGAGGACGCTGGTTCTCTGTGTGCATCATTTCGGACTCTTAAGCATTACACACGTACGTCAAGAATGCAACCTGATCAATAGAATGCTTCCTTCTCAACCCTATTTCTCACATCGTACTTTTAAGCTAAAGTTTTGTTCGTGACCATGGAAGCCTTGGGTGGACTGACTTGATCTTCCATTGATTACCTGAAAAAACCATCCATGTTAATTGGTTCCTGTCTAGTTTTGTCACAGCATATCTTAGGTGTGCTACAATTTTATACATATGTGTTTATCATACCTCACGTGTCGTATATAGACTCGGTTTCTAATTAAACATTTGCATACTTGTTTGTTGTGACACTCGTTTTCTTTGCCACATCTTTTTATGCATGGTGGGTTACACTTTGCTGAAATTTACGTGATAAACTTCAATATGTTAACCAAATAGCTCTAGATACCGCGGAATAGACGTGAGTAGCAATAATAAAAAAATAGACACTGATATTTTTAAATGGATAACGTTGTAGAATACATGCAATATATGAACTCTTAATTCTAAAATCAATAATAAATGCAAAAAAAATATTATTTGATATATAAACATACAATTAATAGTTTATTAAAAGAGTGTGTCATGCAGATACAGTATTATATCGTTTTTTTATGATATAGGAGTATGTTGAAAAAGACTACAATAAAACATGAAGAACGAGATGTATAGAGAACACATTCGGAGGTACAGAAGGGTGGTGTTTTTTTAGGAAATAAAAGTATGGTATTGTGTGTGTAGTGATGTGCATGTGTGTGTTGATTTGGCCGTGTAATAAAAAAAGATTATATAAAAGGTTATTAAATGAATGCCTTTTTATGAACAAAGAAAATGAATGCTTGGAATAGTAGCTTATCCGGTGATCCTACTCAATGTAGTCATCCCGTATTAACCTTTTTCTGCAAAAAACCATGCGAGCCCCATGTTGTCCAGCGAACCAGGTGTGCTGACCGGACGGTATGGCCCACCGTTCAGCGAGACAAGAAAGGAACAAAAAGAGCAGCGAAACCTCGCTCCGCACGCTCTCTCCCGCCGCTACTTATCCCGCGCGGGTCACGGCGTGGTCGCGCTCTGGCCTGGCCCCCCATTCGATCTCTCCCTGCTCCTCCACTCCTCCTCCTCGTACAGCGCCGAAGAACGGAGGCGGCGCCGCCGCCGCGCCGGCGAGAGGAGAGCGAGGGAGGACATGGGCCGGCGGAAGTTCAGGCTCTCCGACATGATGCCCAACGCGTGGTTCTACAAGCTCCGCGACATGCGCGCGCGGGGCGGCCGCGGTGCAACTGCGATGCAGCCGCCGTCGTCGTCGTCGTTGATGAGGGGGAGCAGGGCGGCGCAGCAGCAGGCGGGCACGTGGAGGCTGGGGACGTCGTCGTCGTCGTCGTCGTTGCTGCCGCACAGGGCGTCGTACTACTACACCACCCGGGACAGGGAGGTCCCGCCGCTGCCGCCGCCGCCACCGCCGAGGGGCGTGGATGATCAATTCCCTTCCCTCACGCTGTCGCCGCCGTTGCCGACGAGGAACAGCAGGAGGCGGCACAGGGTTGGGAGATTTGGTTCGACGGAGATGGATGGCGGCGAGCTCGTACTAGCGCCGTCCGACGACCACGACGGCTGCAGCCACCAGGAGCCGCCAGTGGCCGATGCGTCCGGGAGCTCCCGGTGCCGTCGCGACATGTTCATCGGGAGAGATGGCGGCCGGGGCGTGGAGTTCCGGCGCCGGGCGACGACGGTGGATGGTCCTGAGGAGGACGCCGCCGTCGATGTCAAGGTGATCACGTCGGACGCGGACATAATCATCGACCTCGGCGCTGACGACGACGACGACACGCCGGAGAGGGTGCTCCGGCCTGTCGTGACCAGGCCCGCGAGGAGGGAGCTCGACTGGTGCGAGCCGGCGGAGGTGAAGCACGTCGACCTCGCCGAGCTGATGACACCGAGAGCGAGCTCTGCCTCTGCCTCCTCGGAGAAGAGCATCAGCACGGGCAAGCCGAGGCGTTCGTCCGTGTCGTCTCGACGCCGCCTCAAGACGCGCACCAACAGCCCGCGCCTCGCCGCGTGCAGGAAAGGCAAGCCGACGGCGCGGGCAACGACGACGACGCCGACGCAGCCGCCGCTCGCGCACAGCTTCGCGGTGGTGAAGACGTCGTCGGACCCGAGGAGGGACTTCCTCGAGTCCATGGAGGAGATGATCGCCGAGAACGGCATCCGCGACGCCGGCGACCTGGAGGACCTCCTCGCCTGCTACCTCTCCCTCAACTCCGGCGAGTACCATGACCTCATCGTCGAGGTGTTCGAGCAGGTCTGGACCGGCCTCGCCGCTGCCTGTGGCGTCATGCCATGAGAAAACGCCAAGAGTTCATCGCTCACCAAAGCCTCCATGCTCATTGATTGCTGCTTGGTGAATCGCTGAATCTTGCCATGAATTATTATAGTAGAGTAGTTTAGTTCTTTGATTTCTAGTAGATGATGGTTAATTAGCAGCAAGAAATTAGCCATAAAGCAATAGAAATAAAATCGATCGAAAAGTTTGGTTCTTTTCTTGCTAGGTGATTTGCCTGATTCTCCTCGCCTGTCAGTTTGCTTTCCTCAGTGTCACACTGACTGTAGTTATGAGCTGCACTGCACTGCATCACCGCTAGTTGATTAATACAGCTAATGATGAATCACCAGTACATTTTCAGCTACTGCAAATCTTCCAAGGCTGTCCATTTTCTGAAAAAGAAAACGAAAAATACATTGTCTTAGCGTACGTTCTAAACATCAATTTGGTATATTTTGTGCAAAAGTTTTTTATATAGAATTTTCTTAAAAAATCAAATATAAATGCATTTTTTAAGTTTGTAACATTTAATACTCAATTAATCATGTACTCCCTCCTTCCCTAAATGTTTGACGCCGTTAACTTTTTTAAACATATTTGACCGTTCGTCTTATTCAAAAACTTTTGTTAAATGTGTAAAACTATATGTATACATAAATCAAATGATACGAAAATAATTAATAATTACTTAAATTTTTTGAATAAGAGGAACGGTCAAACATTTTTAAAAAAGTCAACGGCGTCAAATATTTTGGGATGGTGGGAGTATTAGTGGTTTGACTTGTTTTTAGTGTTGCCGACAATCTTAGCCCAACCTCTGTTCCGAACAAAGCCTTAAGCCTTGTACGATCAGGTGCTCAGGACAGTAGGCTGAAGTAAAGCATGCTAGGTACAGGTGCTGAAAGTCAAGCAAGCAACTGAATGTCTGGATCCAATCCGCCGTAGCACACGTTTTGACATGATTAACCGACGTGTCGCTGTTACTTCTGACATGATAATATCCAAGTGATTTGTACGGCGTCAGATAGTAATATGTCGGCGATCGAGGGTAGTGTAACCACGTCTCGAAATCCTTGTGTTCTTGTGGATGTTGAACGCCGTAGCAGGGATCTTGGTGACCAGTTACAAGTCACCAACTGTTGCTACAAGCTGGGAGATGTAGTGGTAGTAGGACGACAGGGATGCAGCTGCAGCAGCTAGCTCCTGACAAGAAAAGCCTAGCATGTAGCAAGACAAGTATCGAGCAATCATGCCTCATATGCGTTTCAACTCGTACAGGGAGTAACCTGTGTAGCAAATGGAGATGCCACTACTGACTAGGAGTAGTAATTTGCTTAGCTAATGCAGGCCAAGTAGGAGCAATTCAGCTCAAATCATTTGAGAAGATCATATCTGTGATTGTCCTCATGGTTAGTATATATATGAAATGATCGAGATGCCATTACATATTGATCAAAACATAGGGACCCAAGGCAACAAAGGAGCAGTGGTGAAAAACCTGAAATTGAAAGATTCTTTTCTTTTGTGTGGTCAGAAACATGGGGTGATACTCCTTGAATGGTCCAAGGAGTAGCCCCTTGTCGAGACACTGGAGTAAGCAAGACGAGGCCGATTTTGGAAGCCCAGCGGTTGCTGATCCACTGGCAATGCTGGCTGCAGCATAAGAACGGTAAGTCAGTAACTAACTCAAGATTTGTGCAACTGCCTCACATAATTGGTAGGACATACTCTGAAGGTTTCAGGCTGAAATTACCCAATCCAATTCATTCATACTACCACAATTGACCGTTGGAGGAGGAATGATTTTACATTCATTAATAAGAACATACTAGGGAATACTCTGAAATTTTACACACACACAAAAAAAAAACACCAAGTACGTAGTACAATAAAATTTCTCTTGGAGAATACAGTATATGATATTTGCTGCTAAATTGATTCAGAAAAAAAAAAACATTGACTGCACTAGGAAAAAATAGATTCAGAGATCGTGCTAAAGTCCAAGAAGGAATCAAAGAACCTCTTCATTTCTGCAAGTCAATTACTACATGTTTTCTTTTTTTCACTTCAGACATACTGCTACTGTATTAACGTATCCACAATGCAGAGGCTGGATGTAAATTTTGTTGTATCTAAACATTTCTGCAAGCTGCATGTCTCAACTCTCAAAGATCTCTTGCCCCTCGTGTCCCCTAGCCAAATCACCCCGTCACCTCACACTGCTCCATCTTTTGTCCCGTGCTCTTGGCTGGGCTCCCAGGTCAACACACATGTACGTGCACAGGAGAAGCTATAGCCTCCTGTGATCTTCAGATACTGCCCTGTGCCTGTGTCTTTCTCGCCCAGAGTGCAAGACAGCAAAGGCATCAGCTGCTCATGCAATGCAGGTCACTGTTGGCCGAAGCTTCCATGGAGAGGTCACAGAGAGCGAAAGGATCGCGGGTCGATTCGGCGGTGACAGCCGTGCAGCGATCTGTCTCCCGGCCATTGCAGCTTCGGCCAAAACAAAACAAAAACAAAAACATTTGGATGTGTTTAGTTTCTGAAAAAAGTTAGAAGTTTGAAGAAAGTTGGGAGTTTGGAAAAAAAGTTGGAAGTTCATGTGTGTAAGAAAGTTTTTTGATGTGATATGATGTGATGGAAAGTTGGGAATAGGGGGAAAACTAAACACGGCAAAAAAAACATGCAGAAAAAGTTCAGAAAAGTGTCCTGCCTGACTGTCCCAGAATGTGTACGTGGTCATACATACACGGTCAAATTTGATTGTTTCTTCGCTTTTGTTTTGGGATTTTGCAATTTTTGCAGGCGGTTGGTGCAGCACAATGTCAATCACTGCTTGTATCTAGCGTTCCTATCGTTGTCCCTGAAGTATGATTCAGGAATCGGCTCCTTGTGCTGTGCGTGTATCGTGACAAGAGAGCAAAGGTGTGTGTGATATACTTGTATCACGAGTTCACTGTGCTTTCCGGGATGTCTTCTGTAAGTGCAGTGCTGCTCGGCTAGCAGTGACTAGACGAGCCAAACCTAACGCTGGGATATCATGTCGATGAGCAGAGAAGTAGAACCGGTGATGTGGAAGAAGACACCGGAGCAGGTGTAGATAGGGGTGTAAGTGGGTCAGCCGCGAACCCACTTATAGGTCAAAATAAACGGGCTCACGGCTTATTTTAGTCTATAAGTGGGTTTCGCGGGTTAGCCACTTACACCCCTAGGTGTAGAGAGAGAGAAAGGTAGCGAAACAAGAATCTTCACCAACATGGCAACATCCGGTTCTTTGCTGAAAATTTGACGATTGGACCCTTTTGAAAACCTTGTTTCAAGAATGGGATGCGCCAAAAACTTGTTTTAAAAATAAACCACCATGCTAGCGTCAAGCTTGATGACACTGTGTCCCAAAATCCAAATATCGGTATGATTGGCACTGGCATATCTCCTCTGTCTTAAAAAAAAAACTAATCCTAGCTGTGAATCTGAATATATACGTATCTATGTTCGTAGCTAGGATTTGTTTTTTTCTAGAACGGAGTAGTAGTGGCATTGAATTTGAGCTGGCCGACCGACTTTACAGGTGGTCAACGCTAAATGCACCGGTGCTGAACTCCCAAACTCATCGCCAATAAGCAGTCTTTGTGAGTTCGCCAATGTCTCGTCGATGAATCACCACGAATTTGGGAGTTCAGTGCACCTGAACATTTGGCATTGACCACCTGAACCCGGCGGTGCCACGTTGCTGAGATGTTGGAGCTCAACGTCACGGTTTAGTTTTGAAATTAAAATTTAAGGGGGTTCTTTGCTTGGACGCTGCAAAAAGGAAACGAAATAAAGAAAGGTGACGACAGAAGGAAAACAAAGACCGGAACGAAAGCAAAGATGGCCTCTCGAGTGATTCCGATGATTAGGAGCAGAGAAGCCACACGAGGCCGTCCGCTGTTCTGTGGCCGTCCGGCTGTTTTGCATAATTGCATCAGTTTAGATCCTGCAAGAATTGCCTCGCTGTTCTCAGCCTTTTCGCCCGGCCCACCGCTGGTCCTCGGTCCCAACCGCGTTTACCGTGCACGACACGAGCACGGCGGAGCACGCGACGCCCGCCCGGTGACGGCGAGGTGGCTAACCACCCAGGTAAGGCTGTGTTTAGTTCACACCAGAATTGAAAGTTTGGTTGGAATTAAAACGATATGACGGAAAAGTTTAAAATTTGTATATGTAGAAAAGTTTTGATGTGATGAAAAAGTTAAAAGTTTAAAGAAATATTTTAGAACTAAACACGGCGCAAGGTTAATTACTTGTCCGAGTAGATGTGACGAGGACGACAGCAGCGCGATATCCCGTTTTGTCTTTGCGGCGATAGTGCAAGACGGCGCAACGCTACAAGCCGCTACTGCTCGCGCGACTGTGGGGGTGAGGACGACGGCGCGTCGCCATGTCGCGCAGATTAGGCGCCGCATTTTCTACGGATGGACTGACTTGATCGCTCCCGAGTCCTGACCCTGTTTACCTTCAGTATTTGCCTCTTGCCATGCTGCCAGTGTTGCGTCGATGACAACTATTAGCGCTCAACTGTTGACGCAAACCTAAAGAAACTCAAACAAACTTCGCCCAAAATTGAATAAGATTGAAAAGTTTCGAACTTGTCCGGTTTACAAGCCTGAGTTGATCATGCTAAGGGGTTGTGTAGAAAACAACAGAATAACAGATACGAACCGAGCAACTGCCAATTGAAACAATGTCGCACTGGCCAAGATTTCAAAATCAATTCAGCTTTCACTGCACAGTGGCCAGGCACCTTGCATATCACAGGTTTTCAACTCGAATAGTAATAATGAAAGCCCAAGAAATGAGCATATTAATAGCTTCAGATTTTGAAAAAAAAAGCATAACTAGCAAAAAAGCAACGATAGCGGTCTAAAATAGATAAACAACTCAGGCAAAAATTCAGACTTCCATTGTCACACTGCCAATCGCAAAGTACAAGCTAGTTCCAAGAAAGACTTTGACCTCATGAAAGACCATAACGATGATATCCATGGCGCCATTAACAGGATATGATATAGAGTAACAAAGGAGCGACTACGGCTGTTTAGGTGCGAGCAACATTAGGGGGGCCACCAGGTCCAGCAGCAGCAGGGGCACCAGGTCCACCAGCACCACCAGGGCGAGGTCCAGTAGGCCTATCCTCCTGAACAAAGAGCAGCAATCACAGATCAGCAACCAATTATCATGTCTTACTAAAAACAGGTCTTGCGCAGACAACAAGTAGGTAATAGCAGTCTAGCAGGAAGATCAGTTAGGAGAAAATTGAGCAAGACTGCATGCAACACTCACGGACTGGGTTACTACATGAAGTCGAGATGGGCACTTGATGAAAAGAGTAAAATTCTCATAAACCATCAATGTTGCTATAAGGGATGAAAGGCTCAATCATATTCAGATTTCCCATCCTTAATGATCAGCTAAAAATTAGTGTTATTAGCCAACAAAGTGAACGAAATGGATGTAACTATGGGGACCTGTTCATCCCTTAGGCACAATGCAATAGCCATCGGGGCAGACAAAGTCCCGAGTTTTAACATGACGTGCATAGAAACAGGTCCAACAAAAGACGTATAAAGCATGTAAATGCAATTAAAGGTAGTGAAACTAATCAATGGTGAAACAGAAACTATATAGAAGTACCTCATTGATCAGTAAAATTTAATATTGTTCAAGAGCAATGTAAATCGTTTCCCATTCTCAACGATCAGCTTAAGACAAAAGACTATAAGCTGACAAAGTGAACTAAATGGTGCTAACTACTGTGACCTGTTCATCCCACAGACACTGTATAATTGCCATCGGGACAACATAAAAGTCAAAAGACAAAATTCCATAATCCAATAATTAACACCCTTGCTACAAGACTGGATATAGTTATGTATTGAACAGCATAATAAAGCATACAAAAGCTATGTTAAGAAATAACTCAGATCAGTAAACCATATTCTGTTCATTACACTCCCAATCATGATTATCAGTTAAATGTACTCCGATACCAGCTGTAAAGATGAATTGAGACAAGATATGTTGCTCTATTATGTAGTATTTCCCATTCTCAATGATCAGCTAAAAATATGACCATTAGCTGACAAAGTGAATAAAATGGTGTAAATATTGGGACCTGTTCATCCCACAGGCACTGTAATTGCCATCGGGGCAACGTAAAAGTCCCAGGTGAAAATCCAATGCTCCGCTAAACCTAGTGCGGAGAAAACAGAACTACTAGTACAAAAATACATTGCATCTAAGAGAATAAACGGGGTCAGCACAGCACATTACATCTAAAACTAGATCATCTCTCATTACCACTAAATGAGATTATTATAATGTGACGAATTAAATCAACGAAAGGCTAAAGTCACCCATCCCACATGTGCTAAACAATACCCATCAACACAGGTGCTAAACAATACCCATCAAGACGCCCAAATCAGTATTAGCAAGCATAATGAGTATATTGATAAGTAGAATTTCTTAAGCAATTTGCTTCTTCACGAAAAATAGATTTGCCAAAATAGGAGCAAAGGATTAAAAGGGCATACCCTGCGCCTGAACCTCTCCGGCGGCCTGCGGTCCCTGCGGTTCTCGCGGGAGCGGACACGGACGATGTGGGCGTGGATGGCGCAGGAGACGCAGTGATGGACCTTGGCGTACAGCTTCGGGAGGACGTATCCTGAACAAAAACAACATGTTCTTTTTGGCTCAACGAAAAGTTCAATCCATACACAGATTTCGGACAACGAGACAGCTCTTAGCAAGATTGGTTACCGTCATGGACGCACGCCTCCTGGACATCCCTGATGGCCGCCTGCTCGACGATGTTCCTCACCTGGAACCTCTTGATGGCCTTGTCCTGCGACAAGGCGACGACCCAAGAACCAACGAATCAGCCAAGCCGAAACCGCAGATTTCGCGTAACAGTAATAACACGCTGAATGATAATAACAAATCTGCAAGAGAATCTGAATCCGCGAACCTTGGGGCAGCACTTGGCGCAGTTGGAGCAGCGGATGTACTTCACATGGCCGCGGCCATGCTTGTTGCGGCCGCCGTTCCTGCGCTTGAAGGTCTGCGAGGGAAAGGAGGAAACCAATCAGAAGGGACTAACCGGGAGATTGAGCGGAGAAGAAGAAGACGCCGAAGCGGCCGCCGCCGCCGCGGCGGCTAGGGTGGATCCGGAAGCGGCGAGCTCCTTACCATGGCTGACGATCGGAGGTGGCGGCGCAGGGGTTGGGTGCTCTCCTCGACTAGGGTTTGTGGCTGCCCAAGGGGGAGAGTATTTATAGGCGACGAAACGTGCGACTGGGACTTCTACTCTCGTGGGCTGGAGGCCCAATCTATCACTTCGTTGTCTCTCAGACATTGCAATAAGTTCACCGGAGATCCCTCAACTTAACAGCGAGAATTTTTTAGGTCCCTTAACCACAGAACCAGAAATTTGTACCCCTAAACTCACTCAAACCGTTCAAAGGAGGTCCCATGGCAGTATCGACTCAATTTTTGCCCGATTTTGCTGACATGACATCCTAATCAGCATAAAATAAAATAAATAAAAATGTGGGATCCACATGTAAGTGAGAAAAAAAATATGTGGTCAACGATCTAGTCACCAATCTCCTTCTCTTTTCCTTTTTCTCTTCTTCTCTTCATTTTTATCTTTGCCGCTCTTTTACTTTTTCTCTTCTTCTCTTCATTTTTATATTTGCCGTAGAAGGGGAGCAGCGGCGGCGTGCGGCCGGAGGCAGGCGGAGCGGCGACGTCGGCGGGCGAGCGGCGGCTCCGGGCTCAGGAGGTGCAGAGGGGCTTGGGACGCGGCGAGCGAACAGTGGCTCCAGGTGCGAAGGAGCAGAGGGGTGGTGTCAAGGGGCGACGTGGACGCCGGTGAGAAGGAACCTGCAATGGGCGGAGATGAAGGCATTGGCGATGTGGACGACGCTGTCGCAGGTCCGACAGAGCAGGGCGTGATCCGCGACGCAAAAGAAGTAGGCGTGGGTCTCCTGGCAGATGTCGCAGTTTGGGGAAGAGGAAGAAGAGGAGGAGGAGATGAGGGGGAGGTGGTTGGTGGCGTGGCCGTGGCCAAGCGCGACGGCGTCGGCGTCGCCGAGCACCCGCGCCACCACTGCCCGCTCCGCTCCACTAGTCGCACTCGCAACATCACTTGCTTGCCACCGCCGCTCCACTGTGTCGGTCGCGCGCTCACAGCCACGCTGCTCCAGACGTGCGCTCGCCTGCTGCCACCACCCCGCTCCACTCCGTCAGCCGCCGAGCACTCGCCTGCCTGCTCCGGTTCCTTGTCACCGCCTGCTGCCGCTCCCCCTCAGTGGCAAAGAGAAGAGAGGAGAAGAAAGAGAAAAGGAAGATATGTGGGTCTCATATTTTTTCCTTCTCACTTACTTTTAGGCCCCATAACTTTTTTGTTTTTTATTTGACTGACTAGGATGCCACGTCAGCAAAACCGCTCATATATACTATCATAGGACTTTGATTGCATGGTTTATGTGAGTTTAAGGGTAAGGGATCTCAAAAATCTCATCTCGCTGTTAGGTTGAGGGACCTCCGTGATCTTATTCCCTCAGACATTTCCTTATCTAAATGTGCCGCCTCAAAGAAACTTGAGCGTTGGGCCTTGTCTAATGAGGCCGTGGGCCTGAGAGCTTTTCCATGGAATATCGCTTTTGCGTTCAGATAAAGCAACCTGTAGAGACCGAGCGAGCTTGCTCAGGTGAAGTGTCACCGGTGGCAACCTGAGCTTGCTCGCTTGCTCGGATTTTTCCCCTCTTTCCTCCGGAAGGACTTCGGTTGGTCCCGACTATGTAATAGGGTACTCACGCGTGCGTGTTCAGTGACACTGCACGTTCTCCGTGCATTGAGGCCTAGTATCTTCAATCAAATTCCTAGCGTGTGTTAGAGACGCGCACGCGTGTGTGAGTGTGGTGTGTGTAAGTGTGCGTCCTGAGTTGTACCCTTCTTAAAAAAAGATACGTATAAATGAAGCTAGAACATAGAGAAAATCATCACCTGTATTTCTTAAGCATGTCATCGATGGATGCTATACATTGCGCTAGCTAGTACCAGGTCCAAAGAGAACAGCAGAAGAAAACATCTAACCAAACTGTGGACATCTCTGGAAATTTGAGACAAAAGTGAACCTGAACATCATGCATAGATGCTTCTGAATAAAAGTTTCAAGTCACAAGTAAAATAGAAATAACACAAATAGCTCCCATGCCGTGCATATATCTATCAAGACGGGAATATGTCATGGAGATACAATCTCACGCATGAGTGCAATTCAATTTGACATACAAACCAAGTTCACAGCGACACTGGAATTCGTAGACCGTCAACTGAAGTGTTCATATTCATCCCATATTTATTTATTTACACAGATTTAGTTGGCAAAATACACATTTATTTACATAGTTGGCAAAATACGTTGAATCTTCATAAGTAGTACACCTAATCAACAACAACGTCAAAACCATAAGAGTCTAATTATGCTGCTAGGTGATATTCTGCCATATCTCTTCTTACCAAACCTTTCACCGTTACAATCTAAAAAGTAACAATAAGGAGTATTTTCCTCAAACCCGAAGCCAGTAAATGACAGCAGCTTGTGTAATGATCCGATCTGTTCCATCATTTTCACATACTGGATCATTTATATCATACTGGTAGACGTGTTCAAATCTATCTTCAAAATCATAGCAGTTGTAGCTTACCGGAAATGAGGCAATCATCATTGTTTTGCTTAGAAAGTTGTTTATTGTTCCTTTGACATTATGTTGATCCAAGCCACACGGAACGCCATCATCATTGATTTGGTTCACATTGCAAAATTCATAAAATCGTGATATCTTGAATCGTTTGGCAGTAATGTTCCCCTGTGAACATGATGTCAAACCAAACAGAAGTTGTGAAACAAAACGAACAATATATATAATTCTGAAACAAATACATGAAGCCACTGCCCACAAGTTAAATCGAATACGCAAACTCAAGTTAGCAAGAATTAATTTACCTTCTTGTAGTCCAACTCTCTCCTGACTCCACGAGACTTTAGCACTCGAAGATGGTCTACTTATAATTGAGTGGCACAGATAGTGTTGCAGTGATTAGTCCTCGAGCATATTAGCATTGCAGCGATACTAACGCACACCCTCATAAACGTGCGGAATGTTACAGTGTCCAGCGATATACATTTCACCCTTGGGATGGGATATCATCTGCGGACAGCCGTAGCAGTAGGTGAAATCGGTGTTCTTCCTCACCACCTTAGTATCATCACGCTCGAGAAGCTTACGCCCAACTGCACCAAACACCACATAGGAGAAGGACGTTAATCTCAGAGAAGCATAATAGTTTTAGGTTTGGCATTTAACATTCAGATTATGCGTATATGCGTGAACTTTTTTCATAACTTCCTACAACAAGCAAGCTGCCAAGACGCAATACTATCAAATACTTGACAAACATGCAACATTAAAACATGACAAATTGTTTCAAAGAGGATAAACAACAAAGAAAATAAAAGAAAAAAAATCATTGCTCCTATATACCGCTCAGAGGGCCATCTTTGGTCGTTAGCTGGCATTGCTAATTTTGGGGTTTTATTGGGAGAGTAGTGGGCTCTGCCCCCTTCGAGCTGGTTGGAGTCGTACTTTCCGGGTTTTTTTCCTTTGGTCTTTTATTTCCCTCCTCTCTTGACATAAGTCGGTCTGGCTTAATGCGTTGTGTAACGAATATCTTTTTCTTCTAATATATTGACGTGCAATCTTTTTGCACGTTCGAGAAAATAATTAGTTTACATGTGTGGATGTAAGTGCTCAGCATAATATGTGTAACATAATTCATATTACAGTAAGGGGATAAACGAGATAAAACTAAAGGAGGAACAAATTCAAACAAGGCAGGTATAAATTAAGGTGTGTTTGACATGTCAACTGAGATTTCCAAATTGCCAAAATAATACACTCAACTATATATCATGTTTTCTTAAGATCTTCTAGGATAAAAATCCAAATTATTTGGCCTCCAAAACCAGAAATCATAAACAGATCCACCTAAAAAGGAAAAATATGCTAACTGCTAAAAATCAACCACATTAATCTCACATACAAAACTTAGGGTTTTATTTATGTTCATATTAGATCTATTTTTACAGACGGTTAATCTTCATCTGATAAGCAGAAAAACTCACCCATAGAATCGGGACCCAATGGCTCACAACAAGTCACAACGAAGCCTCTCTGAACCAGACTTCTGCCAGCGTTGGAAGGTTCTCCCCGTGAACCTTTCTTGCTCAACCTTGCGGTGAAGACTTCCTGCCTTCTCTGACAGTGGTAAAGCTCTGCGAAGAAAAGTAGTTCCTGCGAACCCTTCTTGCTGGACCTGGCAGTGAAGTTGATGTGGGTGTAAATACAGTGTGGCTCAGGTATACCAATACAAGGCACGGCATCCACGAGCTCAAACTTGTCCTAGACACAAGAAATTAAGAAAGGTCGTGACAACACAAGTTATTACCAATCCAAGATACATAAAGCAATATATATGTTATTTTCTAGATCAAGTGAATAAATTGCATAGCGCACCTTCTTCCTTCTGTTGTAGTGCTCCAAGGCACCCTCTGCAAACCTTTTGGCCTGTGCAAGACGAACTTGTGGATTGACCCGAGGTTCACGTGATTTTGTTGTGTCACGAGCCATTAACCTGCCCCCAACAACACAAAGATAGAACATATATCAAAATGAAGTCAACAAAATCAATAACTACAAGTATAAACTATAAACATGCAATAATACACCGTTATAAGAATAATAAAAATCATGTAATTTCCCATTCAAATAGATTAAACAGAAATCTTATGCAACACAAATATATGACATCGATGGTGCAAGGGTAGCTCTACCATCCGTGAGGAGGAGGTACCACATTTTTCAAGTGTAAAACTCAGTACCTCTAGGACCTTTAAGCAAAACTGATAGTGTGCACCACTTATTTGGAGAAAGCAGTCAAGTCTACACTAGTTTACACTTAGCAACAGACTAGACAATACTGACAAGGGATGCACATTTGCCCTGACGTGGGTGTCAGTTATCCATGCATAAATACATGCCAGATGCGAATTGGGCTAGGGGGTTTGCAAGTGAATAAAAGAGGGATCAGATTACAAAATTACGGCAAATGTTTTCTTGACTATACAGCATGCTGCAATATGATCAAATGCCCTAATTACAAGTACATGATGAGATATAAATATATAACAACAACTAATTTTACTTTACAACATTTAACAAGTAACAACTATGACCTCAAACCAATACATAAATCAACCTCTCTCAACACTGCACAGCACTAAGAAAATTTCAAATGCTGCTAACAATGTGCAACTGTTCTCACGGCTGTGATTATGCACAGAACCAACAGTTGCGCCAGTTTGCAAAAAGGTGCTTCATGCTACATTGCTACTATTATCTCATACTATGCCTGTTGCTTTATAAAAGACAGTCGCGATAACATGAAGCACTCTGAGCAGTCTTGCGAATTTGCGATAAAAATAAGTAGCCATGAGCACGGAAAGGAGGGAAATTTGACAATTCACCAACATAATTGCTGCACACTATAAAATGCTTACACGAGCTCTGGAATAATTAATTTAATTTCAGTGTCCAACAAGGTCTGCTTGGCATGCAAAGTGTCTGAATTGGAGGGACGAGGAGAAACAAAATAAAATAGTAAATTAACCATTAAATTTGCTTTTCTTACCGAGCAGGCGCAGGCGATGTTGGAACAAGCGAGGACACGCTTGAGTCGGAGCGGTCGGAGGGCGCCTCAAGGAATTGGAATCCGCCCATGATCCTTCCGGGGGATTCCAACTCCGAGCCGCTTATCACCACGAAAGAGGATGGCGAGTGAGGGCACGATCCACCCCCAAGTTCTCCAACACGCGGCGGCGCGCCGTACGCATAGGGCAGGTGCTGCGCCTCCGCGATCCTGGACACCACCGCCGTGGCGAGATAGCCGTTCGCCGCCGCGGGCTCAACCCTAGCGTAGGTTGCGTGGGTTGGTGGTGGTCGTGAGATCGGAGGAGGCTGGGGAAAAAGTAGGTCCAGGGGCAGGCCGGGTTCCGAGTCAGGTTCAAGTCTCCAAGAATTGTTTTTAATTTTTAATTTTCTTTGAAAAAGTCTCCATGCGTTGTAACGGGTGAAATCTATTTTAATCTTATTATTGTTATATGGTTTAGTTAAGATGAAACTCACTGTGGGAGTTCACTTGGATATAAATTTATTTTAGAAAATCATGAGCTGCAGTTCGGAGTCCGGTCGTCTCATGTTAGCATGCGAGTTTTTTTAAACAGATTTCTTATATGATTCCTTCTGTGTTACCAAAAGTGAACGATCTTAAAAATCGACTTAAATACGGATATGTATTTCCAAAAGCAAACAAACTTAAAAACCGACTCAGACACAGATGATGTACCAAAATACCGGCAAAAACATCTTCAATTTTTATAATAGTAGAGATTTATTAAAATATTTAAAAATATTTTTTCATTTGAAAAATTTACAAAACTAGTCGGCCATATTTAAAAATCGCCTTCCCAAAGAGTGATTTTACTGACATGGCATACAGCTGTTTGCCCTCCCTAACGGTCGGCCACCGAGGGAGGGAAAATTTGCAGACAACCGCCTGCAAAAGGGTTCCCCTACACAGTAGAAAATCGTCCTCCCATAGGGCTAAAGAGGGCCGCCTGCAAAAATACCACCCTCATATTGTAGAAAACAGTGTTGTGGATAACGGTTGATACGGCCGTATATTCGGACGTCAAAACGGTGGCGCTGACCTCTCCGTCACGTTTCAACCATACGGTGCACATTAGTCGTTTCCGGACGTATAATCACCGTTATTAGCGATTAATCGGCCGTATCCGACTAATCGGCCGAATAAACGGGCCTAATCACGTGACAAGGCCCTGTCCAGCCAGCCCATGATAACTATTCTGGCCCATTAGTTGTGTAACCTAGCACCATATAGCTAACAGAACGTCGTTTGCAGTCCCAAAACCTTCGCAGCTCATTCCTGCCGCTACAACGTGCAAGTTTAGGTCTAGTTCTTTTCATCTAATGCTCTCAGTTCGGAACTTGTTTTAGTGTCACTAATATAGTGTTACCTGCTTTTAGTATTTCCTTTATATATTACGAACCAAACCTATCATTATTTTATACACAACTATGAGTGTTCATACCTATATTTTACTATATGTCGAGTTAATGTCATGTTATCCTTATTTTTATTTATAGGTATATATGTAGTTATATGCATTTATCTGTCAGAAATAATAAGCTATTATGAGTTATGTACATATATTTGTCCAAAACATTAAATTTCCATCAAATTCTGATTATTCATCCGTACTCTGACTAATCGTTTAGCGGTACCCTCTCCGTCCGACATCCGTATTCCGTCATCCACAACACTAGTAGAAAATAGCCCTCCAGAGGGCTATAAGGGGGCCGCTTGCAAAAATGGCAAGCAGCCCTCCCAGCCATTTTGCAGGCGCCCCCTAGAGCCAAAAATCGCCCTCTGGAGGGCAGCAAGGTGGCCGCCTGCAAAATTTCAGCGCCCTCGGTGGCCGGCCGTTATGGCAGAGCCAACAGTCGTCTGCCATGTCGGAAAAAACGCCCTCTGGAAGGGCGACAGAGAGCGATGGACGACTTAAAATTTTCAAATCGAAAATTATTTCTATAAATATTTTAATAACTAAAATAAAAAAATAAAAAAAATCAAGTCTCCAACGGACCTGGCCGAACCTTCTGATACAAGACCTCAACCGAGTATCAGATTGAAGGACAAAAATCGGATTCATTGACAAGGGACCTCACGTGAATTTATTTCTTTTCTAATTAGCACAGACGCGCTAGCTAGCAATCTAGCACGCGTTTTCGGCCCATGTCCTTATGCGCGATTCCTCCTCCAGCCCACTTCTATTTTTTGCGCAAAGAAACACTGAGGAAGCGTGCGCACGTGTGCCATCGCGCCAGATTCGTAGAAAATAAAAAGATTATATTAGTTGACGTAATTAGTATCCGACAATTAAGTTTTTAATTAATCTTTCTTTTTTTTCATGAGGTTGTTTTCTTTTTTTTAACTAAAGATTTAAAAATCTTTACGTGAAATTTGAAACTTTCTATAGAAGAAAAATTAAAAGTCACAACCATAATTAAAAACAACTCAAAATTTGAACTTACAATTCAAATTTTGAAAACTTTCAACTCAAAATTTAAACTTTTAAGTGAATTTTGAAAACTTTCATCTCGAGTTTTAAAAACTTTCCACTCAAATTTAAAAACTTTTGACCCGATTTTAAAACTTTCGACCCGAATTTCAAGCTGAGGCGGAGCAACGTATTTGAATGCCTCGTGCCCAGACCGAAGGCTGAACAACTCTAACTCGTTGACCTTCATGGGTCGATTCCGGCAGGTGATGGTCTCCAAGGCGGCGGAAAGGGGGAACATCGTGATGGCGACCTCGTCTCCATCGGAGCAACGGGTTGTCGCGTCTGCAGGGCGAAGATGCCAGATAGGCTTTGGTTCGTCTCCAATATTGACTCGGGTGTTTGGGAGAGTTTAGTCCCTCTCTCCCAAACACCCCCTAGTACATCGATGTACAGGCGTCTCAATGCTGACACCAGCATAGAGAGGGAGGTGGTGGGAAGGCCAACGGGACGCGGCGGGGTGTCACATGCGCGCGTGAGGGCAGATCATGAAGTAGGGCTCGAGGGTTTTGGCATGTTGGGCGACGCCCCGCTCCCGGCGCTAGCGAGGCTTGACGGCCTTCGCACGCTGCTGCCTGAGCTGAACCATCTACACAGGTTATTGATGCTTTGACTAACATGTGGGTCCCACACATGTTTTCTGTTTTTTTATTTTTCTTCTGGTGCCACGTCAGCTAAACCACATTCAATATACTGCTTTTGGGACTATATTTACACTGGTTTTACAAGTCCACATACGTGTTATATCCGATATTGCGGTTTAAGGACGTCATTCCAAGTTTCAAACTCGAGGTAAAAATGAGGAACCTAGAGTGAACTTATTTCATTAGATTTTTTCCCCTGTAATGGGCCTCCAATTAATGACGAGCCCACTCGAGGATATCGGCCTTATCAAAACCAGATGCTGGGCCTGAGAGCTTTTCCAACGTCCAGTCACCACTCACCAACCCACCAAACCCTGCATGCAAGGTGCACGCAAAGACGTTACTCCCCTTTCTAGCGAATCCAACGATGAGTTAGAGAACCGCTTCCAAAAAAAAAAAAAACGATGAGTTAGGGAACGGTTCCGTGTCGCTGTCAACGATGTGTCACGCTCGCCTCTCGGGTCAGGACCAGACCAAACGTTGCCGCTGGACACTGGCCGGTGAACCCGCTGGACACTGGCCGGTGAACCACGCTAGAAACCGCCCCCGCACCCTGCCCTCCCGGTCGTCGTCCGTAGCGGCGGCGAGCGATCGAGCTGACGAAGTGACGAGGTGTGTGTGCCGTGTCGTACGTGATGCTGTTGATGCTTCTTCCTAAGCTGGTGACGAGCCCCGATCCGCGTCGCCGTCGCGCGCTCGCCAACCGCTACGCTCCGCCGCGCGCACGCGAGAGCTCAAGCTGAGAGCGGTCGCCGCGGCGAACGTACGTATGCCCGACAGGATGACAAAAGCGGTAAAGCGCCGGAGTCCGAGCACTGCACGGCACCGACTAAAACAACAGCAGCACAGCACACTCCAGTCTCCACCGCCACGCTTCACTGCACGCAGCCACGACGCCCCGAAGCTTCAAAAAGTTTGCACGGGAGCAAAGCAAAGCAATAGCCGTTTAATTAGCTAGCTGTTCATCACACTGCTAAAAATACTATCGAAGAACGGGGTCAAGCGTGTGGACGCAAGCAAAGGATACTCACAAGCTTATCGTCCACAGCTTCACACACGGCAAAACCGACAATGCTCGTGGCTGCAGAAAGGCACGACAAGCATGCCCCCACGAACATCGCCGGCCCGGTGCCCATCCATCCCATGTGACGAGAAGATACGTACGGCCGGGGGGATTAAGTACGCATCAATTAAATCCCTCACAAAGGAATAAGTACACCTTAATTGATTACTCCTCCATTACACCCAAACAATACAGGAACAGAGAAGCTACAGCCGCTAGCTACGACAAAGTACAACATCAATAGTCCCCTTGATAAATAAAACACGGCCTCGCGGTTTTTAATTCCGTTGCAAGGCCATCACTCCGGTACAAGAAAACGCTCAAAAGTAGAAATTTAATCAATACAATTATTATTGATTTTTTCTTCAAGTAGTACTAAGCTTAGTACTCCCCTTTACTACTACCACTACACTTGATGATGGTGGACCGGTCCAGTCATTATTGGACGAAGTCCAGAGAAGGAAAACGTCTAAGCGGGTGCTAATTAGCAGCCTCAGCATAGCCCAAAACCTCTTCTCCACTATAACGAAGAGGCTTTTCTTTCTCTCTTGCTCAAAATAAATAATCTCTCAAGGAAGAAAGACGACGACGAGAACGAAGACGAAGAAGGACACCGTGCTATTATATGTGGGTGTCGGAGACGGCGATGTCGGTGGCGGCTAGAACTGGCCACCCTCGAAGGTCTGGCCGAACTGCCAGCCGGGGTGGGCGACGTTGTTGCTGGTGACGGTGCGGCCGTCGCTGGCGGTGACCTGGAAGGAGAGGCTCTGGCCGTCGAGGAACGCGTTGCTCTGCCAGTTCTGGCCCCAGTTCCGCGACATGGGCTGCCACCCGGTGCGCGACCCCTTGATGGAGACGGAGCGGACGTCGCCGGCGCCGGCCACGTTGGTCACCAGCACCAGGTTGAAGTAGGAGTGCCCGTTCACGGTGAACCTGACCCCACCCTTCTTCACGCACGGCACCCTGCAGCAAAAAGGAAAATCACACGAGACCGCGCGGTTAATACTGGAGTACATATGTTTTTTTTCTTTCTTGCTCGATCTCGCGGTGAGGTGAATCCCGCGACCGAATCGGTGTGAGGCAGTACGTGACAATGGCACGACGCAGCATGCACATGCGTAGCCACTGTACGTGGCGCAGTTGCTGCTGCAGCAGCAGCAGCGGCCTATCTGCATGCAACGTATCAAATCCGCAGGCTGGTCCCAGCGGAAACTAATGGTCACTCATGGCACGCGGCCGAGCCTAATGTGGGGCCCGGCGTAAAGTTGAAACCGACCGACGTCGCGTGTTTAATTGATCCGGCCGATCGTGCCAGGACGTGGCGGTAGTACAGGACTAAAGTCGCAAGTCATAACTGACCACTATTGGTACGTTTTAAGTTTTAACGTGTTTTTTTTTCTCAAGGTTGTTTAAACTTGTTCGATTCTACTACTACGGTAGAAACCAGCTGAGAGTCTGTGAAGGCGAAGAGAATGTGACCTGCGGAAGGAGACGGGGACGATGCCGGCGCGGTACTGGGCGATGTGGAGGAATGCCGGCTCGGCCATGTCGAAGTGAGGGCGGGGCGGGTTGCACCAGCCGCCGTCGTCGCTGGGGAGGCCGTAGTTGGGCGGGCAGAAGTTGGTGGCCGTCACGGTGATGGAGCCCGGCAGGCACGAACTCCCGGCGTTGTCGCACCGCAGCTCGTAGCACGACCCGCACGCCGCGCCGTCGTTGAACAGCGCCGTGCTCAGCGCCGCGGTGTTCGTGCCATACCCTTGGCTGTACAGGTTGCCGTAACCGCAAGCCCCGCCTGCAAATTAAAGACCATTTCGATCGTCATTCTCGCCGTTGAGCTACAGCAACACGCTGCATTCGCCGGCTGCGCATGAGATTCTACTACTCACCCATGGTGCCGGAAGCATCGCCGCCGCCGTAGAACGTGGCGTGGGCGCTCTGCCACCCGCCGTACCCGGCGGCGGAGGCTTGCCGTGCCAAGAAGAGGAGGAAGAGAACGCCAGCGATCGCCATTGCTGGTGATGGTGTCTAAACGCTGGCTAGACTAGCTCACTTGAAGCGGAGCTTGGCAGTGTGAAGAGGTTGGCCCTCCAGGCCTAAGGTATTTATAGCCAGCAAGCCAAAAGCCAAGCTAGTGCCGGTGGCGGTTGGATACTCTCGTCTCGGAGCCGTGCACATCTTTTCCTTCCCCCCGATTTGGTGAGAGAAAGTAAAAAAGCTACTCGTATAACTGGTAGGAGTAGTAGCCAGCCAGCTCTGTTGCGAGTGACCACGGCCGGCCACGGTGGCCACCGGCAGTTAATACATACAAATCAGGCGCACATGCGAGTGTCCTCCCCGCACCGGCGCGGCCGCGGGCGCGCGCGCGCGCGCGCGCATGTAGTACGTAACAGAGCCACCAACTGCTTGGTGAAGTGGCGCGCGTGCGGGGGCCCCGCCCACATGGCTCTCGCTAGCCGCAGACGGGAACCATGCGCTGCAAGCCTGCAACTGGCGCCGCGGCGCGTGTGGACCATAAGCAGATGGGCGCCCGCGCCGCTGCGCGGTGCGCGGTGCGCTTGGGCGCGCGGCTCGAACGATCGATCGGCTCGGGTGGTGTCGCGCGCGCGCGGGGCGCCGCACGGCCGCGCGGCATGGGGTGGTGTCCGGTGGGCGAGTACTGCTGCTGCTACCACCACGCCCACGCGACGTGATATGCTGTTGCCTTGCCTGATAACGATGTGATCGGCATCCGCTGGGGGCGCGTGCACGTGCATGTCGATTCCAACTCGGTGGCATCGTTTAATGCTAACTGCTTGTGTTGTAGTGTTACTGGTGCCCATATGTGGCTGTGGGTGACCCGGCCATCTCTGATAATCTGGTTGCCGTTTCTACTTGCTAGATTTTGATTTTTTTTCTTTGTTTGATCACTCGTCTTATTTAAAAAAAATTTTAAAAAAGTTATGTTTATAGTACTTTAGATAATAAAGTAAGTCACAAATAATAATAATAATTTCAAAATTTTTTGAATAAAACGAGTGGTCAAACAGTGCAAGCAAAAACTCAAAATTTCTTATATTATGAGACGGAGGGAGTATATTTTTTCGAATATGGTCGCGTGAGGTGGGTTTAGGGTCTGTTTGGCACAACTCCAACTCTATGTGAAATGAGAGCGAAGCAAAGGTGAAACGCTCTCACAAAATAAACTAGAGAGGTAAAACTAGGTTTAGGCAGCGCCAGAATTCTACTCCAAACTCAACTTCTGAAACTAAATTTAGCGTTAGCTGATGACAGAAGCTCTCGGTCCCTTGGATGGAGCGGACACTGGACGGCCTGAAGCCCTGAATGCTCTGCCAGTGTCAACAACCGTTAATTCAGATCGGATGAGTCGATTAGCCCTACAAAGAGCACACTGGGCCGTCGAATAATACACATAACAGATTAAAGCGTGTTATTGTCGGGGCACAAACGCACATCACTACATCAGATCGCCAGATGAAGGTTAAGCTAACCCCACACACGGAAGGAATAATCCTTCTCAAGCTAAGGGGAGATGGTCAGATGGACAGGTAAAGCAATTAGTACTAAGGAGGCTAGTATTATATAAACTTTAGATTACTGGCTTCTTCAGGCGTTCAATGATTATCAGGCGCAAGTTTTAAGGTGGATAGGGTGTGAAATGGGCAAAACCTTGCCCTGTGGGCTCATGTCCCTCTGAAGCATATGCAACTAGGAGAAAGATTGGATGGACGGAGACGCCGCACATGGACACACACGCTCACATGCGTGGAACATGGCTACGACCGTGTAGGCTGTATATAAATCCAACAGCATTCAAACAAAGCTGCTCCCTAGCTTATGCATATCCATGCACAAGTCCAAGTTTGTAAACTTCAAAAAAACCTCATCTTTACCGATCACGTAGAGGCCGTGCGTTTTGTTGACCTTTTTTTGTGCAATCGGGAAGTTTTGATTTTTCCCTTGCAAAAGGCCTTATGCTTTGTGTCAAGCTGGTAATACTAGCTACGTACCTGAGCTGCTCCCTCCTCTTCGGTTTCAGCGAAAGCAACACTTCTCCGGACTCAGCATTTGGTGATGGCCCCCATGCCATGTTAGCCGCACATGGCGTGGCCACCCCCCCTGCCATTACGGTTAATCTCCTGTCACTAACCTGATCACCTCCCTCTTGGACCCGTCCTGAGTGCTCTGAACAGCTCTGAGTTTGATCCATGCTGAATTGTGGTGCTCCTGCAATCCCTACACACCCCAACTTGTTGCCTAGCACCATCACTGCTACAGAATTATTGGTTCAGATTAGTATACCATCTCTCTCATTATTGATCATATGTTACCACTTGACATGTTCAGAAGAATCCGTTAGAATTAAGAGCGGAGGGAGTACTTTACAGCCAAAACGACTCAATGTAAAAAAACAAAACTGCAGTAACTTTCAGTTAGCATTGGTATAGTAGTACTACTAGTGGAGCAGTTTTGTGAAAGTTCAGAAAGGTTGCAGGTTGTCATGTGATAATTTGCCACGGCGAGTAGGAACAGAGCACGTAACAGTGTCGTGGATCTGCTCGCTCCTGTTCCCCGGTGAATGCAGACCGCATGAACAAGTGACAAGGACGCCTCTGGGGAGAGCCATGTGGGGGGGACACACAGAAATACGTAGTAGATCACACGATCTTGCTCTGACGGGACTCGTAAGCTTGGGGGAACCCTCGGCCGCAAGCTCGGGCCCCTCCAAAACGGGGCCGATTTCTCTGCAAAATCACGCAGGAATGAAACGTCCTCTCTGTCCGGGAAGGGGAATCTTGTGCCCGATCGCCTGTGATGATCTGATCAATCATCTCCCGAGGTGTATACGCTACCATACTTCCCTGGTTAATCTACTCGTCTCGCTGATCGTCAGACACACAATCATGCGTTGATTCGTTGCACAGTTTAGCTTTTTACAGAGGGTACTGCCTACCTGGTGAAGGTTCTCGCATGATTGCCAAGAATATTCTTTGCTTGGACAAGCAAGAATTAATGGCTAGCTAGTAATTGGCTATTCTGAATTTTTCTGACCCAGCATTTGTAGATACAGATGTTCAATTCTCTTCATGAAGATCGACATGGTTGACAGAGGAAGCAACACTGTCCTAACTCCCAAGAACTCCAAAACTTTTGGTGAATTACAGCTGAACCTCTCTCATGAGATGCAATCACCAACGTTGAGTGTCTGAAAACTTCATTAGCCGATCACGTATAACTCTGGGCTTGCATTTGATCATTGTCTTCAATGGAAGGATCGTGCGTCGCTGTCTCCGATCCATTAATTTCTTTATGGCAATCAGGACGGCGCATGATGTGTACAGGGGAGTTGGAATACTCCCATCTGCATGAATGGTCCTGAGCAAGTGTACGTACTCTCTCATCCGGGTGATGGATCATATCACTGGCCTGCATGAACCATTGCACGCCGTGTAATAGTTTTGAATTTTTGCTTCCAACGTTTAACCACTCGTATTATTTATTTTTTTTTGCAATATAGAAATCGAAAAGTTGTGCTTAAAGTACTGTGGATAATAAAGTAAGTCACAAATAAAATAAATAATAATTTTAAATTTTTTTGAATAAGACGAGTGGTTAAACGTTGTAAAAAAAAAATTAAAATATCTTATATTTACTAGTGTAGTAGTAGTAGTGTGTGCTAGCTAAGCTAGCTGGAACTAAGCTAGCTGGAACTGAGCACGCCGCGTCACCGATCGCCCAAAAGCTGTGGAATAATCTGAAGCCCAAGCTACCCTTCTTTTTTGCGTTATCCACCTCAGATCTTTGCGCATCATGATGAAAGGCACGTTCATGTGATACCCTTTTGGGCTGTGTTTTCCGGTGTTGTTTTTCTCAAGCTTTTGCTTTCAGCAAAATCGGCATCACTGGTGTTATCCGGTAACATGGGTTCGTTAAGATGTCCAACTAACTCGACGTATATGTGCTGGTTCTGATGTATGAGAAGATTGTATTTGAGTCCGGGACCAATGGAAATATTGGGTAATAGAAAAGGATTGAGCATGCAAGAAGCTTTCTGCCGAAACAACAGCATTTCTGAAACCGTAGTCCTTTCCAGAAGTATGGAAGGGCTCCTACTTGATGCATCTCAACATTATCTAGGCCTAAGCCTGAAAAAAAAAATCGCAATACAGGCCCTGTTCGTTTCTCCAACTAGGAGAGATTAAATTTTGTATTATCATGGCTGCTAAACGATGCGTTTCGTGCGAAAACTTTCTATATAAAAGTTGTTCTAAAATATCAGATTAATCTATTTTGAAGTTTGTAATAATTAAAACTTAATTAATCATATGTTATTACTACCTCGTTTTGCGTGAAACACTTAATCTTCATCTTCATCTTCAGGAGATTCAAACACCACCGTAGCCGTGTAAGTTTTTTTATTTACTCTATCATCCTTGCTGATCCCCCCCTAAAAAAACTATATTATATAAGGCTCCTGTAGCCTTTGGCTACCTAGATAATGAACATAAGCACATTATTAACAAGACACCGACACTCCGACAGCTTGTCTAGCGCCCATCTCATAGTTTAAGAAAATGATATAAAAATGATGCACTTTATTCATGAAAACGAAAACGAAAAATATTCTTCAAGATTGTTCTCTTTTTATATATGGAAGACTCATATGCGTATAATTCTTTACATGGCAGTATATAATATTAAACTACTTTGTTTATCTTGTTAAAGAGATAGACAAAGCATCCCCGCAAAAAAAAAGTAGTTTAATGGGAAACGATTTTGCTATATATTTGTCGACAAATTTTCTTTTAAAAATTTGACAGATGTAATTACAGTACAATCGTAGTGTAATTACACTGTAACTTGCATGTAATCACACTGTAACTATAGTGTAACTTGTATGTAACTTTCAAAAATCTCTTTGTAATATGTTATTTCGGTAAAATGGAGGTTGTGGGAACAAATCCTTACACATGTTTGTGCTGTGATTTTTTTTCTTCCTCACCAAAACAAATCTTGTAATAGATTTAACGATTCAAAATTACGTGAAACTTATATACAAGTTACAATGTAGTTACATGCAAGTTAGAATGTAATTACATATAAGTTACAGTGTAATTATACTACGATTGTATTATAATTACATCTGTCAAATTTTTAGGAGAAAATTTGTCGACAAATGTATAGGTGGTCCCAATGGGAAAATACACGCAGTGTTTCTTACATGAGTTGCCAACCATTCCAGCCCAGAATTTAAGTTAGTCGGGCCGCTCCAAATACACAATAGACGGGCCTGGTCAGACAAAGCCTATCATTCCAGCCCAAAAAGGAAAAAGTACACCGAAGGTCCCTCAACTTGTCATCCAGTTACAAAATCGTCCCCCAACCGCAAAAACCGTTCACAACTTGCAAAAACCGTTCAATTTAGGTTCTTTGGTGGTTTTGACCCCGGTTTTATCCTACGTGTCAGCTGAGTCAACGTGAGACCCACGTGGGCCCCACATGTTAGCGTGGCCACATCATCATCCTCTCTTTCCCCTCCCCTCTCTCTCGCACGCTTTTCTCCTCTCTCCACGCTGCGCCGCGCCTCCCTCCCGGTGCTCGCGCTCCTCCTCCACTTCCGCGTCCTAGCCGCCGCCGCGGGTCCCACTTCTCCCCCAGCGATTTCCCGCCTCGCGGGCCGCCTCCGCCTCTCCCCGTCTATGGCCGCCGTCACGCTCCGCGCGCTCGGCAATGGCGTGCCCGACGTTGCAGGAGGGATGGCGAACGCCGCGGCGATGAGCGCGACGGCCCCGACGACGAACGCGGAGACGAACGTGGAGACTTCCTGGTGGTGAAGTGCGTCATGCCGAGGAAGCCCTTGAGCTGCTGCAGCACGATCACGACCGCCGTGCCACCCATGAACCCGGTGATTGCTGACCGCGACATGAAATCCATCAGGATCCTCAGCCTTGCAGCAAACACGGATCGATATATCAGTCAGGAAATCTCAGGAACACACATAAAGATCGGAGAGATCGGTCATATCGATCTCGCGTTACCTGAGGAATCCAAGAGTAGCCTACATGACGCCGGTGAACAAGGCCGACACGAAGACGAGCTGCGTGTACAGCCGCGGGTCGTCGGACGCCCTCACCTTGCCGCCGACGATGGACGCCACCAGCAGCGACGACGTGGCCACCGGCCCCACCCCGAGGTTCCTCGAGCTCCCCATCACCGCGTACACCAGCGGCGGCACGAAGCACAAATCTGTGTTCGCAACAATCAATCGACAAACGCATCCATCAAAGGTGTTCGTCCGCGACATGAACGGTTAATTTGGCGTGATCTAACAGAGGCTGATGACCGGAGGGATGCCGGCGAGGGTGGCGTAGCTGATGCCCTACGGGATGGAGAGGTTGGCGATGGTGACACCGGCGAGGAGGTCGTACCAGAAGCTTGCCGCGGAGTACCCCGCACCTCAGTCCAGCGCCGGCACGAAGTACCTCGCCACCCACCACGCGCGCTGCGCGGGCGGCATCCCGCCGAGCCGCGGAACGGGTCATCGGGGAAGAGCGTGTCCTTCAGCCCCGCCCGCACCGCCACGCTGAACGGCCGCGTCGCCGCCGGCTGCTGGTTCAACCTGGCCCTGCAGTGGCCCCAACGACGAACGTGGAGACGAACGTGCGACGGCGGTCGGTGACAGGCGACGCGGTGTGACGGCGGCGACGCTGGACAAGGGAGGAGGCCGGCGGGTCGAGAGGAGGTCAGCGGGGCGACGAGAGAGAGAGAAGGTCCGGCGGCTGGCTCGCGGCCGCTCGCTCGCCCGCCGCTCCGCCGGCCACGCGCTTGCTTGCCACCATCGGCCCTCCGCTCCGCCGGCCGCCCGCTCGCTGCAGTGTTCTCCCGCTGCGTGTGCGCGCCTGCTGCCGCTTCGCTCCACTCCGTCGGCCGGCGAGCGCTCACCCACCTCCTCGGGCCATCCTACGCCCCGTCCCGGCGCCGCTGCGGCCGGCCGAGGACGACATCGACCTCGGCATCCTCGTGCGAGAGCTCGCTCGTCGCCGCCCCCGCTCTGCTCGGCCGGCTCCGCTCTCTGCCGCTCCGCCTTCTTTCTCCAGCCGCTCGCCACAGCCCACTGCCGCTCACCCGCCGTTGCTTTCCCCTCTGCAACCGGCGACCTCCCGGAGCTCGCCAGCCGCCGCTGCTCCGCCTGTCTGCTTCGCCACGCTCCTCCCCCGCCAGCCGCCGGCCGCGCTGGCCCTCCATACTGCCGCGTCGAAGATGCTACTGCCATCCACGCCCAGGGGAACATGAGAGAGGAAGGGAGAGAAGAGGGGGGAGAGAGAGAGAGAGAGAGTGGTGACGTGGTCACCTGACATGTAGGGCCCATGCGTGTCCCACGCTGACTCAGCCGCCACATTAGATCAAACCGGGATCAAAACCACCAAAAGATGTAAAGTGAACGGTTTTGTAAGTTGTGGGATGTCATATATCTGGTTTTGCGGTTGAGGGACGATTTTGTAATTCGATGACAAGTTGAGGGACCTTTGTTGTACTTTTTCCGCCCAAAAACTAGGCCATTGGAGTAAGGAAAAAGTCCACTTTAACTCCTTTAAAAAGTAGGCCGAATCTAATTCGTACCCCTCAACCAGAAAAGGAAAAAGTGCACCGAAGGTCCCTCAACTTGTCATTGAATTACAAAATCATCCCCCAACCGCAAAACCGGATATCCGGTATCCCTTAACTAATCAAAACCGGTCACAATAGGTCCCTCGGCGGTTTTGACTCCGGTTTTATCCGACGTGGCAGCTGACTCAGCGTGGGACCCACGTGGGTCCCACATGTCAGGGAGACCACGTCACCACCCTCTCTCTTTTTCCCCTCTTCTCTCCCTTCCTCTCTCTCTTTTTCCGATGGTTGCCGTCACGCGGGGAGGAGCGCGGTGGTCGTCTGCCTTCCCTCCTCCTCCTCCGCGTGCCGCGCGACGCCATTGCCGTGGCCGCGCGTCATCGTCGGGGTGAGGCGGCGACGCACGGTGGCGCGGCGGAGGGGAGGGCGTTGGCGGCCGCGGTCACCGCACCACCGTACGCCGAAATTCCCCCACCGTGCGGACGCCATCGCCTATCTTCATCTTCCCGAGCGCCACCAGCCGCCGAAATTCCCCCACCGCTCGCCGCCTCCCCCTCCCCCTCGTACCACTCCCTGGCGACCTCCACGACGCCGACGATGTGACGGGAGGCGGCGCCGGCGCCGGAGTGGTAGAACAGGCAGCAGTCGCCCCGGCGCATGGCACGGAGGCTGTTGATGGCCTGGCGGTTGCAGACGCCGTCACACGGCGCGATCTGTATTATCTGTTCAGATTCAAGGAGATGACATCAGCAGCAATGTCTACTCTGAACCTGAGTTCATCTCCTCTGACCAAGCAACAGCTCCGATTTGGAGCCAACACACTCATTGCAGAACACGTCAGTGGATTCAGCTCTGCAAGGCCAGCTCCATTGCTATGTTGGTCCAGCTCTCACTAGCGAGCGGTCAAGCTGAGACCGAGGCGGCGGCCATGGCAGCGCGCCGGAAACCGGGTCGTCGCGCAGGCCGGCAACTACAAGGTTGCTATCCTTGGCGCCGCCAGTGGGATCAGACCACGACCACTCCCCCGGTTCCGTCTTGAGCAGCTAGTAGTTGCAGTTGACGGCGGTGGCGTTGGGTATTGCTTTCTTCGGCGGCGGCGGCGTCAGCGGTGGCAGCAGCAGCGGCAGCACCAGCCGACGCCCTCCCTCTGATAGGCGATGGCGGCCGCAGTCACCGCCGGCTTCTCGTCCGCATCGCCGACCGCACTAGGGAGATGGGGAAGCCGGCGAGCCCGCGCGCTAAACAAGTCGCATCACCGTCGCCGGCCACGCGTGCCGCCGCCCGTGCGAGAGTAGAGAGCGAGGGGGAGGAAGGAAGAAGAGAAACAGAGAAAGAGAAGAGGGGAAATAGAGTATACGTTAGCGTGGCACCCTAACATGTAGGGCTCACGTGTGGCCCACGCTAAGTCAGCTGCCACGTCGGACAAAACCGGAGTCAAAACCGCCGAGAGATCTATTGTGACCGGTTTTGATTAGTTAAGAGACGCCGGATATCTGGTTTTGCGGTTGGGGGATAATTTTGTAATTCGATGGCAAGTTGAGGGACCTTCGGTGCACTTTTTCCACCAAAAAACTGGATAGAGTCGTCCTATCTGGTTCTTTGGTTGAGTCGGCCTACTTTTTAAGGGTGTCAAAGTAGACTTTTTCCTTGGAGTAAAATTAACCGGCCCATAAGACCCCCCTGCGTGGGCAAAACAAGGCCGTCTTGATAGTAGATGGTGGGTCGTATGCAACAGTTCTCAAAGCTCGTAGAAGGAATAAATTGGTCGCCGAGTCTAAAATTTGTCCCTAAACCAAATACCGATATAATGTGTCCATCAATTTTATAAACCGGATCACACGATGTTCTAGGCAGTATTATACCCGATTTTAGCTAACGTGGCAAGCTAAGTCAACGTGTGACCACTTGCCTGACACAGCCGCCTGTAAGAATGCCGCTGACACAGTTGCAGGAGAGGGAGGAGAACCCATCGTCGCCATTTTCGGTCGGCATGTTGTGCGTGCATGATCTCGGCAAACCGACGCGATTTATAGTAGCTCCCAGCCTCCGACCCATCGTCATGTCGCTAGCATGAGAACGCCAGGAGCTTGCACGCCCATGCCACAAGGATGAGGTTTAGGGCCGAGTTCAAGCAGAAGAAGATCCATTGGAGGAGAGCCTCAAGGTCACGCATGGTCCTTGAATCTGACGTCGCCGGCTTGATGCGCGCTCCCTCCGATTTTTCACCTTTGTCCCATTCCCACACCGCTCCGTGTTCACGGAACAGAACCACAGATGACACAAATCTAGCAAGAAAACCCTCGCAACGTATCATGCCACATAATGCCACATAGACACCATGTATCACACAAGAATAACTATATTGGGACTTTATTACTATTCGCTTTTAAAATTAAGGGACACTTCATACATAACTATATGACTGGTATTGTGGTTCAGAAAGGAAGTTCGGACTGGAGTCGACTAGTGGTCCACTCCTGTCTTCCGGCTAAAGTTCGGCACAACATGTTCCAGAAGTTTTTTGACCTCGCCAGCTGTCCATTGATCTGTCCCTGGCAGCGACGTGACGTCCCAGAGTCAATTAAGGTCGCTGGTAACAGCCAGTGCTCGGCTCGCTCCATCCCTCCGTCTTCCACGGCGCGAGACTCTCTCGACCGCTTCAGACTTCACATCAAGAATAGATGCGTGTGTGTGTCCAAACCTGTATGCTTCGCCATAACACACGACAATTGACAAGCGAAACGCCATGGGAAATATCCAAAAAAACTCTACTACTTGCCCTCGCTTGCACGTCACCCGTAAAACGCACCGCACCGAGCATCATTCCCAGCTGCTAGTGCTACCCAACCTGATCTCGCCTCAACCCCTACATATACACGCACACTTCAGCTCTCGTCGTCATACATCTGCTAGTGTGATCAGTGTGGGCACACGTTGCACACAGGAGTTTGAGGTTGAGGAGGAGATCGAGATGGTGCCCGCGGCGAGGAGCGGGTGGCCGGCGGCGGCGGCGGTCCTGGTGGTGGTGCTGGTGCTGTCCTCGCCGCCGGGGACTAGCACGGTGGTGGTGGCGAGGGCGGCGCTGTCGTGCTCGACGGTGTACAACACGCTGCTGCCGTGCCTGCCGTACGTGCAGTCGGGAGGGGCGGTGCCGGCGGCGTGCTGCGGGGGGATCCGGAGCGTCGTGGCGGCGGCGCGCACCACGGCCGACCGCCGCGCCGCCTGCACCTGCCTCAAGAACGTCGCCGCCGGCGCCGCGGGCGGGCCATACATCAGCCGCGCCGCCGGCCTGCCCGGCAGGTGCGGCGTCTCGGTGCCCTTCAAGATCAGCCCCAACGTCAACTGCAACGCGTACGTGAAAACCAAAAATCAAATTAACCTCTACTAGTAGTACTACCTCCGTCCCAAAATAAGTGTAGCCGTGGATATTCGTGTCCAACGTTTGACCGTCCGTCTTATTTGAAAATTTTGTGAAAAATTTAAAAATATTTAGTCACACGTAAAGAACTATTCAAGTTTTATTATCTAATAGCAATAAAAATACTAATCATAAAAATTTTTTAAATGAGACGAACGGTCAAACGTTAAACGTGAATAGTGTAAAACTACACTTATTTTAGGACGGAGGGAGTACTTACTTTTTTTTCCCCTTCGTTTTTTGCGTGAAATTTGTTGGTGTTTTTGGAACGGTTTTAACGTGTTGGTTCTGGACTTCTGGTGCAGGGTAAACTGAGGTGGAAGCAGCACTTTCGGCCCGCATGCATGTGGGCTCAGGGGAGCCATGGCCCGTGGGCCGTGAATGAATAATCAACGTGCTTGTATGTACCATGTCGTGTACTCAGCAGTTCACAAGTGTGCTTGTCCGATCAATCACCAAATTAAAGGACTCTTATGACTGTGCGCAATTGTGCATCGTGCTAGCGACCACTCAACTCAACTCATGCAGTTTCGTAGTTAGTCGCGTAAGGCACGTGGCGAGGTGCAGTGACCGTGACAATGACATGATCACGCTGTATGTTCTGAATCCTCTCATCTTCGATGCCTTTAGCGTCAGGAAGTGACGCACAAACGAAGGAAATAATGGGCAAAGCAGAAGACACAGGATCGAACGCAGCACTGCTCCTATCCTCCTTAGCACACATGCACTACAAAAAAGAGAGAGCATAAGCTCGACCGCAAAACACACAAACTCTCCAAAAGAGCATTTCAGGAGCCCCGGTCGGCGTATTCAGCAGCTAACGCAAGGCTGTTCGTGGCAATTGGAGTAGATTGCAGAGACACCGACACGTTTTTTTTTTTTTTTTTGCACTTCTTTCTCGTGAAAGGAGGCCTGCGCTTTTGCTGTTCTGCACAGGGGCGGCTCACGGCCGTCGAAGTGACGACGGACCAACCAAGCTAATTACCGCGGTGATCCAGACGAACTCCGGCACGTACGACGTGTGGAAAAATCTAATATGTTATATTATGTGGTTTTCTGATCTATTACATCAACCCTCTCATGTGGTATATATAGGAGTACATATGGGATAAAGACTTGGAGTACAATATAGGTAAGAGTTGATTTATCTCTAGAATTTTATCTCTAGGACTCTATCTTATCTCTCTAGGATTCTATCTCTAGAATATATTTTATCTCTATAATTTGTATTTGACTCTTATCTCTAACAAACACATTCATACTTCTAACACGACGGACGGTAGTCGCCATCAGAACCGAGCACGCAGCAAAAGCTCGGCTAAGCTAAGCTAGCTATGGCTGATGCTTGGCTTTGCCTACAAAGCAAGCAAACAACCCCCCCCCCCCCCCCAAAAAAAAAAAAAAGTCGCATGGGCACTAGCGCCATGGCGTGGCGCGCGTCCCTATCCCTGTAACAACTTCGCGCCATGCGCAATGGCGCAATTCAACTTGGGGGGGAGGGGGGGGGGGTGATGAGATGCCCTTTTACAAGTACGCTCGCGCGCCCCGCGGCATCCATCGCCAAAGATGCGCGTCGCGATCGCTCGTTCGCCGCGCGCGCGCGGCTGCGTCTTCGTATATATCTGGCATGGCCGCGCGCGCCAGGGGCTAGGCTAGCTACCTCCATCTATCTACCTGGAGTTAGTGTAGGTGAGAGGTTAGGTCGATCATGGCGAGTGGTGTTGCGGCGCCGGCGCCGAGCGTGTTCGAGGCGGCGCGGCCGGCGTTGGAGAGCGGTGGCGGCGGTGGAGGCGCGCCGCCGCCGGGGAGGGCGGACGCGAGCTTCGACACCAACATGGTGATCATCCTGGCGGCGCTCTTCTTCGCGCTGCTGTTCGCCATCGGGCTCAACTCGCTGGCGCGGTGCGCGCTCCGGTGCGGGGGCCGGGGCGCGGCCGCCGCAGGCGGCGGCGGCGGCGGAGGAGGAGGAGGAGCGGCGGCGGCCGGGGTGGGGTGCGGCGGCATCAAGAAGCGCGCGCTGAGGAGCATCCCGGTGGAGGTGTACTGCGGCGGGGAGGAGACGGCGGAGACCGACGTGTGCGCCATCTGCCTCGGCGAGTTCGCGGACGGCGAGAAGGTGCGCGTGCTGCCGCGGTGCCGGCACGGGTTCCACGTCCGGTGCGTCGACGCCTGGCTGGTCTCGCACGGCTCCTGCCCGACGTGCCGCCGCCAGGTGATCGGCGGCGGCGGGAGCACGCCGCCGCCGGACAGCGACACCATCGCCGTGGTCGTAGCATGATGTGAGAGACAAAAGATATACTACTCCAGTAGTCTTCGTAGCTAGCTGGGCTCCTGCCTGGCCTCTTTGGCGCCAATCCCTTCTAAAAAATATCTCGCTGATCGATCTGATCTCTCCGGATATTTTCCGGCGAACGGCTAGTGACTAGTGACTCATCAGCTTGTTGTGGCGAATGTATTGACGGGTGCCCAATTGGCCCAAATTGGTCACTGTATATACACGTTCAACATCGCCGTCCCGAAATGTACTGTACCACTAACATTTTCGTACGGCGCCCTTCTAAGAAACACTGTTACATTTGCGTACTCGCGTGTGCACGCACTGGATTTTCTCCGTGGCCACGCGGGTGCCCGTCGCCGTCGCCGCAGCTCGATCGGCGGGGGGGATTTTCGATCGCCGGAGTTGGGGAAGATCGAGCGGCCGCGCCGCGTGCGAGCGAGCCAACCGACGGAACAGCTAGCTGCGCGCGCGCGCGGGGCCAAGGCCAACGGCATGCCTTAATCCGCACGCGACGTGGATCGCGTTGCGGCAACCGTCGAGATTACGCCGTGTCGCCAACCCCGCGATTGCCACGGCTATCTGCTCTCGCCTACCTGCAAGAGCACGTACGCTCGAGTTCGTCCTGTCATGTTCATGTCTGCCTTTATTTTGCCAGTGGAACCTACTAGTAACATAAATATCAGCATATCGCCGTCAAATTATCCAACCATCACATATACAGTACGTAGACAGCGTCGTGCCGGATTAACGAGCGGCTCGATCCTGATCAAGTCCCCGGTTAAAGTTAAACAGGATGTAGTCACGTGCAGCGTACAACGCAAAGCCCAGAGAACAAAAAGGAACAGAACAGTCAGGATCAATCAGCCTCGCCACCGTTTTGTCTTTTACTTTTCCTTTTCTTGTTTTTTGCATGGCATGTGGATGGATGAAGAATGACGCAGCAGTAGCATTAGTAGGAGTACTTTACAATTACCGGCTTTATACAGGACAAGTTAACAGAAGTAGTCCATGAGCTGCACCCGCGGCACCGTGGCCGGCGGGCCTCGCGGCGCGGCGGCGGCGCGCTCCATCCGTCGGCGGCGCTGCTCCCACGCGCTCCTGAGCCAGCAAAGCACCGGCTTCACCGCCTCGAGCCACCGGAGGAACACCGCCTCGACGACGTGGAGCCGGCAGGACCTCCACGGCGCCGTGCAGCCGTCTCCCTCGGCGCCGCCACGCTGCGGCGGCGCGACGGGGAACCTTGCCGGGCTCGGCTCGGAGTAGCACCGCCGCAGGACGATGGCGCGGTTGAGCTGCGCCTCGAACGCCATCCTCTCGTACTCGTCCAGCAGCGCGCTGTGCCGCCCGCCGCAGCCGTCGCTCACGTCGAGGCTGTACCGCGCCACCACGCCGCCACCGCCGCCGCTGACTTCGTCTTCCTCCCTTGCTCTCTCCATGTGTACAGTAGCCGTTGCCAACTGCGAGTACACGCGCGTGTACCATACCACCACATTGCGAGTGGTATTTAGGCAGCGTGGTGGTCCATGCCGCGGCGGCTACACCATTTTTTTGGAGCGAAAGCTTGTGCGAGCTTGACGTCGCAAGGACGGCAAGGATCGGTACTACTACTACCGGATGAGCTTGTTTCGTACGGATTCTTGTCAACGAAGCACGCATACATGCATGATGCATCGCATGCATGGTTGTAGCCGTAGATTCCGATGAAAATGAGACGGCGATCTTATCTCGTCTAGCTAGGCAATTTTGGTTAGCCAGTAGCATAGTGGATAGAGAGATTTGTTGCCAAATTGATGGATGATTCTTCGCTGAGCTCGAATGTTCGATGTTGTAAATATTCAGTGAGGGACATATACGCAAGGAACCAACAAAAAACTTGCACCATAACTGTCATGTACGAGATTCCACCTCTGTCGCTTTTATTCCCTTGGAGAGAAAATTCCATGCTCTTTACTCTTTAGCAAAGGCATAATGTAAAGTTGCACACTGCAGGTGCATTCTGCAAGCAACCTGCTGAATTTTGAGCTGAGCACAACTTTTTATTCCTGAAGTAGTAGTACCACTACCACTACCACTTGCTATACTTGCTACTGCATTTGCCGTTTACTATTTTTTTAAAAAAAAGAAAAATCAGCGAGGTAACCTTATACGACGATTTCAGAATAACATACAAATGATAGTTGTGCAGAAGGTATCTCAGTTGCCAAGCCCAAACGCTCCAGAAGGATAGATGCTCCACATTGCAGGCTATTTTTAATAGGTCCCACAAGTATCTCCCCTCTCTGCCTTTTCCCACCGATGGAGGAAGCTGAGGTGCCGGGGCACCGGACGGAACGGCGGCAAGACGGCCCAATTGATGAATGGATCCTCGAGCAGGAAGTGCCAAGCAGAGCGCGGCGACACATTGCCACATCTCCTTGTTAAGGGCGGAAGTCGCGGGATAAGACACAAATGATAGCGCCACCAAGCTCGCTAGATCCAGCCCGGGGCTTGTCGGATCTAACCTTGGGCAATGGAGGTAGCTCGTCGGGCGCGACGCAAGGATGGCAACAGCTCGACACAAGCGCCACCTCACTCCTCCCTTCTCTTACCGACACCTCCCTCTCCCCACCGCCTCAAACTCCAACCGCCGCCGCCACCGCCTATCGGCTCTTCAAGACGATGAAGCCTTCCCACTCCCCGGCTCTGTCACCGTCCCGCTCCTCATCGTTGATGTGGCACGAGCACGGGTGGGGTAGATCGGGCCATCCCATCGAGAGCCAGTGCAGATCGAGGTGGCAACACTAGAGCTTAGCGGCACAGACATGGAGCTCGGCGACAAACGGACCTAGCACTCAGTGGCGACGGACATGGAGCTCGATGGCGATGGCCTCGTCGTCCACGGCAATTCATCAAGTCATTTTTCCTCCCTTCCTCTCTCTCTCTCTCCCCCCTGATTTCTGCTTCCTCTCCAGCTTTCTTTGACAATGCCTCTCACTCCTTGTAGGGAGACACATTTTTCGCAGGGATGCACCAGTTGCCTATATGGAGGGGAATCTTCTAGGTGACAAGTTGAAACTCAATACCACATAAGGTGGACTGTAAAATGGCCTAACAAGTTATAAACATGAAGAGATGAAGAGGCTAAGAGAAAAGTAATTGAGACCACAATTATATCTCGAGCTTTGAATCTACGAGACTCGAGGTGGTTCCTTCGTGAAAATCACGAGTTATATACTACTTCCTCTGTTTCACAATGTAAGTCATTCTAGCATTTCCTACATTCATATTAATGTTAATGAATCTAGATAGATATATATGTCTAGATTCATTATCATCAATATGAATGTGAGAAATGCTAGAATGACTTACATTATGAAACGGATGGAGTATATGAGAATTATGAAAAGAAAAATAGAAATCAAGAAAAACACAAGAGCCGTCTTTTGTCATTCTTTGCTCTCTTTTCACTCAATGATTCATTATAATTTCTCAAAAAAAATGTATATGTCTACTCATAGGGCTTTGGGGCCTTGTTGCCAAATGGTATAAGATGGATCATAACTCGTAATTATGAACTGCATCCTTAGGTATCAAAGTATGAAAAGATGCTTTTGTTATTCTTAATTTGCAGTTGCAAAGAATGTGGCCCTTTATGGTCCATCTAAATTCATATCACATCCTATACTAACTACTAACTTGATTTATTTTAGAAAGAAAGTACTATATACATTACACGTTCAGCCCTTTTTTTTAAGAAGTTAATGGTAACAAGATGAGTCCACGGGAGGAGTACTAACATTTTAGGGTGTGTTTGTGGAGAAGGGGATTGAGGAGATCGGGAAGATACGTAAAACGAGGTGAGACATTAACTCATGATTAATTGAGTATTAATTATTTTAAATTTCAAAAATAGATTAATATGATTTTTTAAAGCAACTTTCATATAGAATTTTTTTTTAAAAAACACACCGTTTAGTAGTTTGAAAAGCATGCACGCCGAAAACGACGTGCATTCTCACTCCCTATCACCCAAACGAACGCAGCCTTATACGTCCGGACGGGAGTTGGACGGATTGAATTCAACGCCCAACCTGGCCCACCAAAATTGCCGTATCTCTCAAGTACGAAGAGGAGTTTGAACGAAATTTCACCAAACCACCAAACCCAAAGACCAAATCACCAAGAACGCTCAAAAAAAAAAAGAAAAAGAAAAAGAAAAAGGAGGCAAAACGACCCACCCGCTTCACATCTCCCAAGCTCCTCGTCTCGTCCTCGTCGTCGCGCGGCGGCGCATCCAATCCCTCCTCGCTCGCATCGAAAGCGATAAAACCCTCGCGAAAATCTCGACCCCGAGGCGCGCCGATCGGATCGCCTCTCCTCTCCATCCCCTCTCCAGATCCCGATCCACCGGGGAGCCTCGGATCTCTCGCCGGAGGCCGGGCCCGGAGCGCGCGCGCGCCCTTTTTCGCGGGCAGATGCGATCCACGCCGCGCCCCCGCCGCCGGAGCCGACGACGAGTCGGCTGACGCCGCCGCCATTCCCTGCTTCCGATTCTGCCCCGCGCGCCGCCGGTTCGATGGGCTCCCGCAGGTTCGCCGCGGTTGTCGTCGTGCTCCTCCTGGCTTTGGCCCTGATTCCCGGCCCCGCGGCGGCGGCGGGTAGGGCCCTGCAGGGCGAGAAGGCCCGCCCCAGCGAGGTGAGGATTCGATTTCGAGGTCTTCCCGTTAATTGGTCTAGATTACTTAGCGCAATGGATTGGCATAAGCCATAGGGAGGACGAGCTCACTTAGTTTGTGTTGTTTGGATCTCTCCAGGCAGCTCCTGCACCTACCGTCGCTGCAGGTGGATCACATAAAGAATCGGCGAAATCGTCAAATGGCCAGAATCCTGTGACCAAGGAGACGCACCACCAAACGCCACCGCCGGCAAAGCCGCCGAAGGATCAAACACCACCGCCGCCACCAGCTGTGTCGGAGAGCAAGGGGCAGAAGGGGGATGCCGGTAATAACTCTGGGCACCCGGTGCCACCGACGGATGCGCATAAGACGAGTCCCCCGCCTGAAGGTCCCGGGCCAACTGGTGGGAAGGAGCAGGAAGGAGGAGCGGGTGGGGAGAAGAAGAATCCGACAGAAGAAATTAAGAAGGTGTTGAGTTGTGAGGATGCAGCGGAGAAATGTTCTGTTCCAGGAGAAATTACCGCTTGCCTTCAGGTTTTTAAGGATGGTAAAGCCACTAATTACCTTGGAAACTTCACTATGTTCAATTAATTGAGTTTCTGTTTGCTAAAATTTATAAGGGTAGACATATTTTTATCAACTGTATCTGTTGAGTAAAAAAAATGTTCTTCTGAATTAGTACCTTTTGCAAGTCCATTTGAGCCATGCTTGCATAGTTGCATTCAATTTGAGCCAGTTTTATTGCAAGGATCCAGCCAAGGACAAAAATAATGGGTTCATTTCACGTGTCTTGTTTATAAGCTGCAGTGTTTAAACTAGCCTATTCTGTAGAGCATTGTGTGTTGAATATTATTGATGATGTACTCAGTAACGTCAAATTTATAAGAACAGAACAGTGCAGTGTTGAATTAATCGCGATCGAAAACTGCAGGAGGTAACGTGAACATGAATAGATGGTGAGATTTATACAAAACAAAATGTATATGATGGAACAGTAGGAAACAAATTGTATGCATGCCTATGGATTACCAAAGATCCTATGAGTCGTATTGTATCACTTGGACTAATGTTATGTGCAGTGTTCACCTAGTCGCTAAACGCTAGTCGGACGGCCACCTACTGACTAACGACTAGGCTGATTAGGCGGCGACTAGACGGATTAGGCGAATTAGACGTTTTTTCTATTTCTTTCACACAAAAATACTGATTCTAGACATTCGGTACTCGGTAAATATAGGCATTTAGGCAAATAGCATAAATCATAGTTAAGTTCAGAAATCATCAAGTCCATACAACGCACTGACACTGCACACGAAGCATTGGGTTTAGTACAAATCTATAGGGATAGCGAACACATCAGTATAGCCACTGTACATGCACATCATAATTCATAAATCATAACTTTATAGATCTGACGGTCTGGAGCTAGGAGAGAGGAAGAAAAAATTAACTAGAACTGGAAGAACAGAGGAGGTGAGGTGGTGGAGGGGAGCCTGATCCCCTGTTGGCCTGATCTAGGGTTGGCGTAGGCTGCTTGAGTGGTTCCGTGCTTGACTGCTTCAATCGGTGTGTTTGCCACCTCCCATTGACGGCAAGGATGAAGGATGAGATGGAGAGCAGGAGCAGCAGAGGAGGGGGAAGAACGTGGAGCAGCAGAGGAGGAGAGGGAAGAACGTAGCGGTGCGGTGGAAGATCGATGGGCGCGGCGACGGAGCCGTTGCTCGTGGCGGTGTGAAAAAGGGGGTAGGCAGGGATTGCGCTCTCTCTCCATGCTCTCAAATAAGGCAACCTAAATCCCCTTCTATACCAAGTCGGTCCCGCGTGGCGCTTCTAAATTTTATCACGCCCAAATTTTGATTTCTATCGCCTAGTCGCCGCCTAGACACACTGTCCCGTTGTCTAATTGCGCCTAGGCACCGTCCTGTCCAGGCCGCCTAGGACCGACTAGGACCGTCTAGGCGGTAAATCGACTAATTCACTGCCTAGGGTGTAAACTGGACAAATTGTCGCCGACTAGCGATTAATCACCGTCTAGATGGGCTAGGCGGCCGTTTAGGCGAACATTGGTTATGTGAATGGAACTGAGGAGAAATTTATTTTGGTGTTTGACACAAATGTACCTCATATTATTCTCATAGCTAAAATCAGTCAAGGATCTCTCGGATGAAGAACCTATGAGATGTCATAATATGGTTTTCAGGTCTAAGAGATCTGTAAGCTTAGACTTAGTTTGTTAAAAGTCTTTGGAGGTATGCCAGTTTCAAATACAAGTACCTTTCTGCAAAGAACTGAATGTCACCATAGATCAATAAAATGGCTATCTACAGTACCATAACTTATATTTTGGTTTACCATCGAAGTGTATTATCCTGTTATAATTTAGAAATATTAGTTGGCGTATGCTGGTTAGTGTTGCTTTTCTTGGTAATATTTAAGGTCAACATTGGACACAAGGGGGAATGCTAGAAGGGGATATGGTATGATGTTGTTGAAGATACACAATTTAGTTTCCTCAGAGCGAACCAAGTAAATACTGCAAATTGAAGGCCTCCTTTGGCACATAGGAAATTTCCCGATTCCTGCAGGAATCGAACTGATTCCCGTGCGAATAATTGCTTGTGAAAACAAGGTCTCTAGGGACGTCGACAAACCTAAGAAGATTGTGAACTGTATTTGTAATTAAAAGAATTTCAATTTTTGGGTGCTGTACAGATATTTTGTGATAAATAATTTCTTGTGTTCTTATAGCATTTGTTTCAGGGTAGACAGGGATACAGGATGGGAATCATAATATAGATTTCTACTCTATGCATGAACTTCACCTTTATCGATCTAAAAAAGCTGTGTTTATTTTTACAGGTTCAATTAGGCCATTTGTTGTAGTCCAGAATGAAGGGCAGAATGATGTTAAGGTCGATGTTGTTATTGATGGTAAAATGCTGCCATTACAGCTGGCCAAGGGCTTCTCCAGACAGGTATCCAAGTTAGTTTGTTCTAACATTTCCATCAAGTTTCTTGAATATGCTGGTAGTACATTCTCAAACTTGAAATAGAAGGTGATAGTTACCTGAGCCCTGGTGTGCCATATATTTTATGGTTGATCACTTTAGGGCGTTGCATATATATGCTTCTCGGTTATTAATATGTGTTTGCGGTTTGGATTAGGCGATCAGCTAGATTGTCTGTGCAGACTAGTCCCAGGACTCCAAGCTGCATAATAGCTATTGGTTGCAACTGTTTTTCCCAGAAAAGAGTGGAGGACCATCCTCTTATTACTGTTAAGAGGGATTACAGTAATTTTATAACTGTTTACATTCATTCTAAGTGACACGGGCAAGAAACTAGGAATAAAAGCATAAAGATGTGTATGAATGCTTGAATATTTTGATACTTGACCTCCGTAACAGACCAGTACGCCTAAGTCCCGGAGCATGGCAATATTTCTGGCATTCCTTATGAATATTTAAATTTTGATGAATGAATGCTCATCTTATTCTTCTACTTCTACAACACCAGTCTTCAGTTCCAAGCAAGTTGGGGTAGGCTAGAGAAGTAGAGGTGAAGCTTATCTTATTATAATATTATAAAATATTGACATTCATGTTTAACTTAATTTATTTCACTGTTTTTGTAACCCTTTTTCCATGCGATTTTAATATGTTAAAGATCCTGTTCTTGATTTGTATGATCTTGCTAAAATCAATTGCTCCATTTGTGTTACCAGGTAAACATAACCTATAGCAATCCAAATGGTGTAGAAATTACAGTAAAATCTGGGAAGGGGCAGTGTTCCTTACACACCAAGCAAACAGTTTTTGATTGGCAACAACAGTTTCAGCAGTTTGCAGCTTATGCAACACGCGCGAATCCAATCTACGGAGCCTCCTTCCTTGTTTTCACTGTTGTCTTGGTGGGAGTGGTCTGTGCTTGTTGCAAGTTTGCAAGAAGGCGTGCTAGTGGAGTCCCATATCAGCAACTTGAGATGGGAGACCAAGCCCCCAACTCATCAGGCGTGGAAAACACTACAAGCACTGTGGATGGTTGGGAAGATGGCTGGGATGATGACTGGGATGATGAAGAAGCGGCAGCAAAACCTTCAGATAAGAAACCATCTGGAAGTATCTCTGCAAATGGCCTTTCTTTGAGACCTCAGACCAATAGCAAAGATGGCTGGGATGTAGATTGGGATGACTAAGCTGCATAGAATGTTGAGAAATGTGATCTGGACGAGCTGCAGAAAAAGCACAGACAAACTGATAGCATCTGTGATTGACAAGGTCACTCGCATTCTGGAAGATAGGTTTGTCTGTCTTCATACGGTTTGTACCATATTGTTCCACTACTACTTTTTGTTTCTAGGCTGATACACAAACTGTTAGTGGGTACAAATTGTAATTTCGGTAGTAACACAACAGCACGGTTTCTTAGTTACATGACCAAAACACGAACTGTAATTTTTTTGACAGAGGTAACTATCATTGTTTTCCATTCGTAAAAAAATCAGATTGAAAAACTCTTGCATTAGTATGCTACTGTCACTTCGCTTTAGTCTTTAGAGCTGTGCAGAAGCATTGCTCTCGCCCTTTCCAGCACTAGCATTCTTCACCTTTTTTTTGTCTCTTTGTCCGTTTCTTTTGCTCTGTACAATTCTTCAGCTTTTGCCTGTTGGCTTCCATTTAATATTCAGTTCAGGCTGTATTGACCTTGCGTGAATAAAGATGAATATCATCTATTTTGACGCTTTTCTGAATCCCGTTGTTTCGTGTTTTTGCATAACCTTTTGATTTCCTTGTCGCTATCTGGTTGTAACAATGATCTCAAGGTGTCAATGTAACTATTGGCTATACTCATTTCCTTTTCTCACATGTCTCCTCATTACCAACTGCAATGGATGTTTTCCTTTTAACAATTAGCGTACATATATTGGTTCTGAGATCTCACAATTAAGGGTAGCACTTTAATCTTGTGAGTTGTACATGTCATGCTATTGTCGCTGTACCAAGCAGCATGAGTGACTTTTGACTCTTGAGTGGCAATCATTGATACAATTATGCTACTACCTATAGTTCAGTAATCAGTTGCCATCATCAGCCTCGCTTCAGATTATTGATCTGCAACAGTTCACATGTACTCCTTCGTTTCTGTTTAGAGTTTCCTGTAGCAGGCATAAAGCAGTAATACTGCGGCTTCTGGTATTATGTTCTCCTTGGCATTTTTCCACTCGAGCGGTTCAGTGATCAGTACTCCCTCCATTCCAAATTGATATATATATATATATTTCATAGGTAGCTAATAACTCTCTCATACTATATTTACTATAGCAACAAACTCAATGCATGCACCATCCCCACTATTTTCTAGCCAATAGCAAATTAAGATATTGCATTTAGATTATAAATGCTTATGTGCATAGATGCATGCATCAATGTCCATTTACTCCAACGCACAAATAACGAATAGACCTAATGAATGAACACAAATATATAGATCATTTATGAATAATCTTAAAAAAATTATATGTATATCAATTTGGAACGGAGGGAGTACTAACCAGAGGTGCAGGTACAGCTGCAGGTGCAGCTTACCTGCTCAAGACTAAAATGGCTTTTATCATATAAACTGCTCTTCTCTGATCTGTTCCAAGATGACAAGAATGGCAGGAGAGAGACCAACCCTTTTATTACCATCTCGTCTCCATGCAAGCAGTTGTACTAGTTGTTACCATCACTGAACAAACCTTTTCTTTTTTCCTCTGAACATCTTACCTAACCAGCTTATCACAAATCAGACTTCCTGCCATTCTTGTCCAAGTGTTCCTGAGCAAAGCTATGGCAAGCTAACAGGTGAAAGGCAAGGGGACCAACTGGGATTGCATTGTGAAAATGAAACACAGCCTGATGAACTGGGGGACACAACACACACACCATCAGTGATCAGTCAATCCATGTACTGATGTACAACGTCAACCGAGCTGTCACTGATGCTTCTTTCTTTCGTCTACCAACCACGGCCAGCTTTGCTCCCCCTCTCTTCGCTGTGTTTCACCGTCTTTTTCTCTGCGTTTCTCCTCCGCTCGCTCGATCGAGGGATGCACATGCGCGCCGTTGGCGTCACAGGAAAATCGCTGCTGCTAAGCACAGTAGATGCCATTTGTTTATAGCTTAGCCCCCTGTTGTGTTGCTGCTTGATTTGATTGCCGCTAAGTTTGTTTACTGAATATTATTACGATAGTTGATTAGGATTGCAGCGTCATGTCATGAGGCGGGTATGCTCCATCGTCAGCTACAGTAAAAATTTAAAAATTTTAAACTTACTTTTAGAACTGATTTTGCAGTTTTTTTTTTGCTGTAATTCATGTAACATGTTCTAGTACTGTTTTACTTTATGTGGCGTGAAAAAGAACTTGGAAATGCTCGGATATTTAGCCTGCATCGACTAGTCGGCATATCTGCAGACTTACATAAATCCTTTTTTTTTCAAAGTTTCTGCATCTAGGCATGTTGTTCGTCCAAAAATGTTGGCAGAACTCTTTTTTTTTCCTCAGTTTTCATTCTCATATTTCGTGGTGTACCAGACTCCAGACAGCTCAACAACCTTGTGTACCGCTTGTCCTACAGTGCTTCACCGGCACAAGTTTGATCTTATCGCCGGAGACGATTTCAAATCAGAAGTTGTTCTGAAACTGAACAGAAACACTGTATGTTCGGACAAAACAATGCGGGGCTCTGTTTGCCCATTTGCCAAGCAGAGCATGCATGCCACTGTGAAAGATTCCGTTCTTCATTGCTCTCATACGGTGTGAATGTGCCACATTGCCTCTGCGTGGCAAAGGTAGACTAGAGCAGAGCACTGGCCGAGTTAGAAATTAGTACTACCAAGGACCAGTGCTAATTAATGGATTATTGATTTTGTGTAAAATTTACATGGTAACTTAAAGGGATTTAAACTTGCTTTTTTGGGGCAAGCGCCCTAGCTACCCTCCCCGTCTCTGCCCATAGGTTAGCAGTGTGAAATAAGCCGTGCTTTGTAGTGATATAAAATAAGAGTAACAATGGGTGGGCATTCGGTCTAACCGAAAATTTCGGTCTCGGTCTTCGGTCTTTCGGTTTTTTTGTCTTTGAAAAGTGAAGACCGAATTTCAGCGCAAAAATGTTAGGATCGACAAATTCGGTCTTGGTCTTTTCGGTCTCGGTCATGACCGAAATTCAACGACATTTTCATATATGCAAAGAAATAATGAAAATTTTCAACACAAAAATCACAAAAAAAATTCGTAAGCACTTATGAGTAAAGACTCTTATTAGGTTGCATGCCTAGAATAAGTAGGCATGTGAAAATTAAAGTTTAATCCTATTAAACATAATGGACTGTAGGTTGTATTTAGACATTTTTTGATAATTCGGCCTTTTCGGTCTATTCGGTTACCCGAGGAGACTAATCGAATTGATCGAACAAAATTCAGTCTTTCACTACGTAGGACCGAATTTTTCGGTCTCGGTCTTTTCGGTTCTGTCTTTCGGTTCGATTTTTTTCTGCCCACCCCTACTGTAACATATACAATTAAACTATAGAAAGAGGACCACTTCACACTTTAAGCACGAAGATTAGTCTATTTAACCCCTGAAGTATGAAATTGGGTATTCTATTTCCGAAGAATAGAAACCGAGTTAAATAATCCTATACTAATGATATAGCTGTGGTTTTTGCCACGTGGACTATAGAGGAGATAATGACATGATAATAGGGGAATGAATATTCTTTCAAGAAGTGGAAAGGCTCGAGAATGATGTACAGTAGTGCGTATGTGGTAATTAGTGAGTGAAAAGAAACTATTGGATTGACTTGGGTTTAGTAGATTAATCTTTATGCATGTAAGCAATACTGTCATTATCCCCATGAAAAAACTACCTACAAAACTATTCAAAGGGGTTATTTGAGCCACTTTCATATTTTTAGGAGTAGAATACTCAGTTTCATATTTCAGGGGTTAAATAGACCAAACCAACACTCAAGGGGTTATATAGACTTATTTCTAAAAAATCTATTAAAAAGTTGCTTTTAAAGTCGTATTAACCCATTTTTCAAGTTTAATATAATTAGTATTTAATTAATCATATGCTAATGAATCTCATCGTTTTGTGTATCTTCTCATCCTCTCCCTTCCTCTCAAACAAACATTCATACCTTCCCCTTAAGAGTACAACGTTGAGTAACATTTCTCATCCTTTGGTTTTTGCTAGGCAATACTATAATAACAAGATGAAAAAAAAAGAAACTATATGTTGTTGGCCAGTTTCAGAAGAAGCTGAGATCCACAATTATCCCCACAAGCACCACAAACAGTCATACCACTTGCTTAAAAATTCGAACAAACAAACGAACAAACCAATATTCCGCAGTAAGGAAATGCCTAAAAAAAGAAGAATTCAAAATGGCCATCTTCCAAAATTCATGCTCGGTGCTCTCTGCTCTGGGACCGGGTGGCATTAATGGCACCCCACAAAACCAAACAAAGCAACCACCTCGCACACTACACACACAGTGCATCTCCACGCCGCCACGCGCGCCCACGCTAGAATCCAATGGACGAACACCTCGCCGCCGCTTGATCCCCTCCTCCTCCTCCCCAATGGCCACCGCCACCGCCGCCCTCCTCCTCCTCACGCTCGCCGCCATCCTCGCCGCGGCGGGCGCCGTGAACGACGACGTGCTCGCGCTGGTGGTCTTCAAGTCCGGGGTGTCCGACCCGGGGGGCGTCCTGGCGGCGTGGTCGGAGGACGCCGACCGCGCCTGCGCCTGGCCCGGGGTGTCGTGCGACGCGCGGGCGGGGCGCGTCGACGCCGTCGCGCTCCCGTCCGCGGGGCTCTCCGGCCGCCTCCCGCGGTCCGCGCTGCTCCGCCTCGACGCGCTCCTCTCCCTCGCGCTCCCCGGGAACAACCTCTCCGGCCCGCTCCCCGACGCGCTGCCCCCGCGCGCCCGCGCGCTCGACCTCTCCGCCAACTCGCTCTCAGGCTACCTCCCCGCCGCGCTCGCCTCCTGCGGCTCCCTCGTGTCGCTCAACCTCTCCGGGAACCTCCTCTCGGGCCCCGTCCCCGATGGCATCTGGTCTCTCCCGTCGCTCCGGTCGCTGGACCTCTCCGGCAACCAGCTCGCCGGAAGCGTGCCCGGGGGATTCCCACGGAGCAGCTCGTTGCGCGTGCTGGATTTGAGTCGCAACCTTCTCGAAGGGGAGATTCCGGCGGACGTCGGAGAGGCCGGGCTGCTCAAATCGTTGGATGTCGGGCACAACTTGTTCACCGGCGAGCTGCCGGAGTCGCTGCGTGGGCTCACCGGGCTGAGCTCTCTTGGAGCGGGCGGGAATGCGCTCGCCGGCGAGCTCCCGGGGTGGATTGGTGAGATGGCGGCGCTGGAGACGCTAGATTTGTCCGGCAACCGCTTCGTCGGCGCCATCCCAGACGGCATTTCGGGCTGCAAGAACCTGGTCGAGGTCGACCTCAGCGGCAACGCGCTCACCGGGGAGCTCCCGTGGTGGGTGTTCGGCCTGGCAGCGCTGCAGCGCGTCTCCCTCGCCGGCAACGCGCTTTCCGGCTGGATCAAAGCTCCCGGTGACAATGCCTCAGCGCTGCAAGAACTGGACCTGTCGGGCAATGCCTTCTCCGGCGTGATCCCGCGCGAGATCGCGAGCCTTTCAAGGTTGCAGCATCTGAACCTGTCCTCAAACACCATGTCGGGGAAGCTTCCGGTGAGCATTGGACGGATGGCATTGTTGGAGGTGATGGATGTTAGCAGAAACCAGCTGAGCGGGGGCGTCCCACCGGAGATCGGCGGTGCGGCGGCGCTCCGGAAGTTGCTGATGGGGAGTAATTCACTCACCGGAATCATTCCGCCGCAGATTGGGAATTGCAGAAACCTGATTGCATTGTAAGTGATCTCTTTTTTTTTTTTCCAACATAACTTGGTGGCTTGCTGTTACACTAGCAGTAGCTTCTACTTTGTTTTTTCTTGTGTTAGCAGCTAGCACTTGCCTGCTCTCTGGTTCCTAGTTTCAGATGCCATGGAGAAAGTGATGTCTATGTCTTATTTTCTGTTTGGAAGCACTAAGCCAGCAATGTCGGAACCATGCCTGTCCTGTTGCTTTGGTCGTATCCTAGTGTCTGTGTCCTTGCTTTTTCTTGGATACACTAAAAAAACACAAGTCAAATTACATAAGAAATTTGAATGCTTCTTAAAGAACATATAAATTACAATGAACAAGGCAAATCATGTTGCATCATTACTATCAAAATCTTGGCACTATTTCAGCTGATGTGTGTATGGCTCTTTTGTGGCATTGCAGGGATCTATCACATAACAAGCTTACAGGGCCTATTCCTGCGACCATAGGCAACCTCACCGGTCTCCAAATGGTCGATTTCTCGGAGAACAAGCTGAATGGAACCCTGCCAGTGGAGCTCTCTAAACTCGCAAACCTTCGAGTCTTCAATGTCTCCCACAATCTACTATCAGGAAACCTCCCCATCAGTCACTTTTTTGATACTATCCCTGATTCTTTCATCTTGGACAATGCTGGACTTTGCAGCTCACAGAGAGATAATTCCTGCAGCGGCGTCATGCCAAAGCCAATTGTATTTAACCCTAATGCCTCATCAGATCCCCTCTCAGAGGCTTCCCCAGGTGCCCCCAGCAGCCAGCACCACAAGAAGATCATATTGAGCATCTCAACACTGATTGCCATTGTGGGTGGAGCGTTGATTATTGTTGGCGTGGTAACTATCACAGTGCTCAACCGTCGTGTCCGCTCTGCGGCCTCCCACTCTGCAGTTCCCACTGCACTATCAGATGATTATGATAGCCAATCCCCAGAGAATGAAGCCAACCCTGGCAAGCTTGTCATGTTTGGCAGGGGCAGCCCAGATTTCAGTGCAGGTGGGCATGCTTTGCTGAATAAGGATTGCGAACTTGGGCGAGGAGGCTTTGGCACAGTCTACAAGGCAGTTTTAAGAGATGGCCAGCCTGTGGCCATCAAGAAGCTGACAGTGTCAAGCTTGGTCAAGTCAGAGGACGAGTTCAAACGGCAGGTTAAGCTTCTTGGAAAGGTGCGGCACCATAATGTTGTTACCCTCAGAGGCTTCTACTGGACTTCATCACTGCAGCTCCTCATCTATGACTTTGTGCCTGGCGGTAACTTATATCAGCACCTGCATGAGTCCTCAGCAGAGAGATCGGTTTCATGGATGGAAAGGTTTGACATAATAATCGGCGTAGCCCGAGCCCTTGCGCACTTGCACCGCCATGGGATAATCCACTATAATCTGAAGTCAAGCAATGTCTTGCTAGATAGCAACGGCGAGCCAAGGGTTGGTGACTATGGCCTTGTGAAGCTGCTGCCTATGCTGGATCGCTACGTGCTGAGCAGCAAGATTCAGAGCGCGCTAGGGTACATGGCGCCGGAGTTCACATGCAGGACAGTCAATGTCACAGAGAAGTGCGACGTCTATGGTTTCGGGGTGATAGTTCTTGAGATCTTGACAGGCAGGAGACCAGTCGAGTACCTAGAAGACGATGTCGTCGTGCTCTGCGATGTGGTGAGAGCTGCACTCGACGATGGCAGGGTGGAGGACTGCATGGATCCACGGCTATCAGGTGAGTTCTCCATGGAAGAGGCTATGCTGATCATCAAGCTGGGCCTTGTTTGCACGTCTCAGGTGCCCTCCCACCGGCCGGACATGGGTGAGGTAGTCAGCATGCTTGAGATGGTGAGGAGTTCTCAGGGTACCCCAGAGGATGATCTGGTTTGAAATCTATTTTTTGGTTCCATTTCTCTTTCCCTTTATTAGTTCCTTTTTTTGTCTTTGATAGATGGGATGATTGCAAAGACCAAAGAATGTGAGGAGATGGCTAGTGATTTAGCCTGCTTGCAATTTTTCAGGGATGTGAAGCCGTTGCTTCGGATCAGTTCTTGGTCCCTTTTCTAGAATCATCACATGAGTGTCAATTCGAAATGAGGCTGATAGCATAATAGCAACCCGGTTCCATTCATGTTTTTGTTGTCAGTTAAGTTTGGCTAATACTTGGGTCTTTTGAAGAATTGAAGTTCTGTTACTTTGTTGCTGTCTTCGCCTTGAGACCACAACTTCTCCCAGAAAGCAAGCCGAAGTTAAAGGCTTCCTGGGCCAAGTTGTCGTACAGGTGACACAGCCCATACGGCCCTACTCGAATGATCATGTGCTCATTCAGGCCTACTCGAGTTTGGATCGATACTAATATCCAATTCGGCCCACATAAATTCGGATCTGCGAACGGAATCGGCCCACGGAAACTGGGTTCCGGCCTATTCCCATAGCCCAAGAAATTTGGCCCAAATGCAGTGTCAGTAGTTTGGGCCTCGTACGCGGAGCCTCCTGAATACTAGTAGCAATTTAATTAGCAGAGAGCTCAGAAAAAAACACGAACATCAACCTAATATCAAATAATTAGAAAGGGTAAGACTTCGAACTCAGGTCGTCCAGCCCACCACCTCGTGGAGTTAGTCGAAAGACCCCTGCGTGTTTCTTTAATTAGCAGAGAGCTCCCTTGATCTAATCATCAAACTGTCATCAAAGCAAGCTTATCTAGCGAAAATGCTCTTGCAGTTTCAGTTGCAATGTAACAATCACACCGCACATGCATGCAGTGGACTAGATTTTGTTTATCCCCGTATAGCAAAGCCAATTCCATGTCCCAGTATTTTAGCCTAATCTGTTCGTCAACAGAAAAAAAGGCAGATGCAACAGAGCCTGCATGTTAATGACAACTATATTAATGACAGAGTTGACCATGCCGGATAGCTACTCTATGTTAATGACAAGTTGACAATTAGTACTAGAATACGCTGGTGCACGCTTGTCTTATACTCCCTTCGTGATCAACGTGCAACAGAGTATATAATTTAATGATGTTCACATCGCCCATTGACTACTCTTGGGTGGATTTGGATTAATTAATTTGGCCCCTGTCCACCTAATGTTTGATGCTTACATATCATTAATTAAGCATCCACATGGTTCATCGTTCAAGTATAGGTTAAGTAGCTAGTTTCTCATAGGCCGAAGACGCCTGCATGGAGGGAGGGTTTATCTGACCCTGATATCATTGGAGTAACATATATAATCTGCATTACCGCCATAATGACATATATGGAGTATCAGTCTTGAGTTTATGACACATTGTTACTATATATTCAGACCAATATTACTAAGAATATGAACCCTCGAATAGGCAAGAAGTTCGGATCCTGGTCAACTCCTTCACATGCCAACTTGTCACTACTGAAACATATTTGATGCCTGAAGTTAGGATCAACATGTATTATCATCTATCATAACCTGGGTCATTGTTCATCCACACAATTGATGACGTAAGTCTATTGATAGACTTTCAGCTGATGATAAGACACACCTAAATTGAAAATTGAAAAATTAATTTTCATCCTTAATTTTTGAATCACCTTTTTTAGACTCTCTAACTTTATTTCATAATAGAAACATATCCGTGCCAGAGTGGAAGTATGAAAGTCTTGCCCAAAATCATTTTTCATTGGGTCGGTTACTTTTTCGGTCTCTAAGTTGTGTTTCAACTAATGAGATTACAATTTGGTGTCTATCAGTAGATCGCCGCAGTAATATGTGTCTCCATCCTAAAACTTCAAATTTACGAAACAAAATGTTTAAATCTAGATTAGAATTTCAAAAAACTTACAAAAATTCGAATTATTTTTGATTTTTTTTGGGTATTTCTTCCCCGGAATTCCTTTTTGGATTCCGAAGTACTGAACCTCTCTCTCACACCCACAAAGAAGAAAAATCTCATTCATGATCACCTCATAGTTGCAACAATAATACTTGCAGAAAGCCAGAAACACATCCTACAATACTACACACCTATTAGTACCATTTATCACGCAATTTAGTCGCATAACAATGCTAGCTAGGAGTAGATTTGAAACAGATCAATCTCATCGAAATTCATGAACTCATCGGCGTCGACGAACGAGCTGTCTCCAAAGTCATCATCCCAGTTCAAGCAGCCCAGCAGATCGGGCTCCATTGCCGGAGACGAACAAGAAACGACGTCGGCCGGCGAACTCACCGCTGACGGCCCCGGACACGAGTCCACTGGCTCTTCCTTGCTCATCTTCACCCCGGATTCCTCCCCGTCTCCCTCCGGCGAGCACCTGGACTGCCTCGACGACGGTGGGGTGGCCGCCGTCTCCCTCCAGACATCGCCGTCGTCGCCGTCGTCGTAGAGCAGAGGCGGCGAACCGCTGCGGCTCGCGGTGGCCGGCCCGAAGTTGATGACGAAATGCTGCGAGTTTTCATCGTCGTCGTCGTCGTCCATGGCGGCGGCGGCGGCCGTCTGGCAGCTGCAGGTGTGGTCGCCGAAGTAGGTGATGACGTAGAGGGAAGGGTCTTCCTCCGACTGCTGGACCTGCTTCGTCGCCGTGCAGCCATGGTCGTCCTTGTAGCTGCACCGGTAGTAGAGCCTCGGGTGCTTGCTGTTCTTGATCTCCTTCTGCCCGTACTTCCTCCACAGGAATCCGTCCTCCGACGTCCGCGCCTTCTCCACCCTCGCCGGCTCCGCCGCCGCCGCCGCTCCGCCGCCGCTCGCCGTCGCTCTGCAAAAGATCTCTTGCTGAGTCGCTGCTCGATCGCGCGCGCCATCGCAAGAACGGGAGGAGACATACATATATATATACCTTCTCCTCCGGCGCGTCGACGGCTGGGCGGTTGCCGGCTTGCGCTTCGTGTCGGCTGACGACGATTCGGCATCGCCGCCGGCGCGCAACGCGGCGAGCGCGCGGTCGCAGCAGCGAAGGATCTCGGCGGCGAGGGCGTGGGCACCGCCGTGCGCCGGCGGGAGCGACGCGCCATGGAGCAGGGCTTCCAGGACGGCGGCGGACTCCCGCCCCTGCGCCATCAGCTCGGACGCCATGGAAGAAGCAGCCGGGCTAGCCACCGGCGCCGCAGTAGCAGTAGCGGTAGCACCAGTGGCAATCAGCGCCATTTGCGCAACCTCGGAAAGGTGGTGGATTTTTATAGCGGCGGGTCTGGATCGGATATAGCTTAGCTGATTAGCTCGAGAGGAAGCAGAGACGAAGTTAAAGGAAAAAAAAGTGGATTAAAATGATTAATTCGATCGGGAAGCGTGTCTAGTTGCTCGCGTCAGTCACTAACTTAGTTACTACGCGCCATGCATATGGATGGCAATATGGCATCGTGTGTTAATGTTGTTCATGTCATCAGGTCACATGTACTATGTTGTTCAAATCTAGGTTAAATTTGGTGCTACTTGTACTTGTTTATGAGTTGTTGAAAGCGTGTGGGTGCACCGATGGGTTATACTAACAAGGACTGATACATGGCCTTTGCTCTACCGGTGCAAACCTCGTGTAAAAAGCTAATTTACTAAAATCCTATATGCGATAATTTTGTTCTTTTTTGAGTGTAGAGTCTAAGTTGTGTGGTAGATCCTAATGTAAATCCCCCGTTGATTCCTTTGCTCGGTGTCGAAAATCAAACCCCTCTCCTAAATCCCTATCAACCAATTTCCTTGATTGATTCCAGTTCAATAATTCTTTTAAAGATTTGAGTCGGCGCTCAAACCATTTCTGATTTCTCGTTGCGAATTCCCATTATTTCAAATCACCAATTTGACAAGTTCAAATCTCTAATCCAACTTCTCAAAATCTCCACTCGAAAATAATCTCGAAGTTCGAACCCTTCTATTCAGATTTCTCTTCTAAAAACCGTAAATGCAATTTTCGTCAAATCCTCGAATTCAAACTCACTCCAATGTTTCACCTCTAAACTTCTCCCTTGGTCTCTTGAAATCAATTATCGATTGTTTCATCTCTCTGTCTGTCTCTATCCCCCTTCGAATCCCTTCCTAAATAATCGATCTAACTCTAAGAAACAAATCAAAATACCACTTTTCTACCTCTTTACCCTCTCTCTTTTTAGAGAAAAGGCATTTCGCCCAGCTTTACTGAAAGCATAAGAGTATCTTACAAGCGTTTCGCTAGGGATTGCAGCTTCCAACAAGGACCAGATAAACAAAAGCAAAGAAGGGCGCGCACACACACACAGGCGGAACAAAGATAAAGAGGTCTAGCAAGCACTAAAAGCAAGAGAATGGTAGTCCCCCTGAGGGAGCCTAGGGCTTGATGCAGCGGTTGGCTTCCATGTCCTTGAGCGTCTTCACTGCGGCAGCATTTGCAACTATCACATTCCATGGATATTGGCAAGTAGTGAGTCCCCTAAAGTCTCCATCTCTCCTATCAGCGTCGACGGCACCAAACGCTTCCACTGTTGCATAAAAGAAACAACTCTATAAGGAAGATGAAGGATATTAATTTGTTAGAAGTTTGTTGTTAAACACCCCAATCATTCCTAATTAGCCAAATCGCCCAAAAACCTTCAACAAAAAGATACCACATAACTATATTTTTGGACCTCTCTGCTTCCCACATCAATATAGTCATCTCGCTGTCGATTGAGGGATCCTGTTCCAATTAAGAACATCTCTAAAACAACACCAAAGAAATCTAGCCGGGCACATTTGAACATCAAGTGATCAGTGTCTTCCAATTCTCCACAAAGTTTACAGTCAGGATCACCTTGCCATTTCATCTTTTTTTAATTGGCTGGCAGCGTGAATCCTCCCTTTCATTGTTAACCAAACAAAGATCCTAACCTTCAGCGGCACAGGTGTCCTCCAAATCTCCTGCATTCTTGAGTACTTGACCTCACCAAACATTATCGCCCTATACAAAGATTTAGTAGAATACTTTCCTGGCCCCTCTCTTTTGAATCCCTCTCAAATAATCTTTTGAGTCCCCAAATATACACCCATCCCCAAAATATCAAGTTCTCGAGTTGATGCCCTCTCCTTGATCCTTTGTATTTCGCTAAGTTAAAATGTAAATTTCGAATCCCGATCCCAACTCAAACCCTATTTCTCTCTATCGATCCCCTCCCCGCAATAATTCCTGGAATTCAAAATTTGAAGTTTCAAATCCCAATTCTTGCCCCCTTAAATTCCCCTCAATCTTTCTGAAGGTTCAAAAACAAACTTATTCCGAAAATCTCACTCATGATCACCTAACAGTTGCAACAATAATACCTACAGAAACACAACCTACAATATTACACCTACCATTTATCATGCAATTTAGTCGCTAAGCATGCTAGATTTTCTTTCTAGATCCATTTTAACTTTTTCATTATTTAATTAATTCATTTGTGTCCTTAATTAATTCCATAATGTCAATAATAATATATCACAATAATCTACCATCTGAAACAAACAGAGCCTTTGGTTACTGTAACCTTACTTTAATTACCCCTTCCCCTTTTGATAATTTAATTAGCACCTTTTTCTAAAACAAAACGCATATTAAAGACTACGAATGGTCTCGACTAAAATATACTCCCTCCGTCCCATAATATAAGGGATTTTGGAGGGACATGACACATCCTAGTTAGGACCATGTCCAGATACATGGTCCTAAGATGTGTCGCATCCCTCCAAAATCCGTTATATTATGGGACGGAGGGAGTAATTATATCAGGGTAAAAATTATAGCTAAGCATAGAAGAAACGAATGGGAATTGGAGAGAACTTGCAGTACAGTATAGAATTACAAGCAGACCGTAATTCGAATTCATCTTAACTAGTTTCCCTTTTGCGGCTGACACAATCTAACAATATGTTATTGTTCGAGATGGTACCATGAAAAATAGAGTTGGATTATCCAAGTACTATTATCCATGATAGATCTGAACTGTCACATGGTAATGTTGTTCTCCAAGATGACAAATATATATTTGTACACACATGACCCTGGGGAAAGCTGTCCAATCTCATTATCTGTGTAGAAAAACGTGTTTTACGTACATGAATAGCTGAAAATTAGTTCTCTAAGCTGTACTCCTGAATATTGAATCTCTTGATCTAGAAGCTTCCAGCTGCTGTGAACTCTCCTGGCGTAGCTAGCTCGCTGCACATGATCATGTTGGTGAGATTCCAAAAGAGAATAAAAACATTGAACAGTGTGCTCATAGTAAAATTAATTTTCTTACAAAACTCTTTGCAGACAATTTTTTTAGCCATTTGATTTAATGAATTAGGAGTTACAGAGAATCAAGATTATTCAATGACAATGTTCCATATTAGAGTTTGTAAATGTTTTGGCAAAAAAAATTCGTACACATGCATAGCTTCCTAAAAACATTCAGTATTGGACTTAAAGTTCAACGAAATTTACTGGGGTTGTGCATGAGATTGGTGTGGAGATTAGTGGGAATTCATTCTCTTCAACGGCCGTGGTTACGCTAAATTAGAAAACAAGGTGGGCCTGGAAGGGAAACATAAGAGGTAAGAAGATAGTTCCATCGGGCTAAATGGATGGCTGGGGCAATAATGGTGATGTGCCGTCTCAGCCCTAAGAGATATATATATGGTGGTCTGGTGGATGATAGAGGAGCATGGAAATGATGAGGGTTGAGTATTTTTAGGCATTTAGGAATGCAAAGTTATAGGGACACCATGGTGGAGGATAGATAGAGGGGATATATTAAGTGGGCTTAAGAACTATATTAACCCACATGTATAGGGCTGTTTGAATGACACCCCTCCCATACTTTGTCATAAAAGTTCTGCAAACTGTGGCAAGCCACATATTGTATGGCCAACATTTTGTTGGTCTCATTTGTGGCGAGAAAACGAGACTATGATAAGTGAGGTTTGATTTTTTAAAAAGGTGTGGCATACTATAGTTGTGGATGCCATAAATTTCACAGTGTGTGGCTTGCCACAAATGTCACAGTGTGTGGCTCTCAACCAAATAGCGCCATGCTTCTCTATCTCAAGATATAACTGCTTCTTCACCAATCTCGTTTCCGTCTCAACCAATAACAACCACATTTTATTTAATTCTACCTCTCCTTAATATATGTGAAAAACTTGAGAGTGGAGAAGTGCTTCTATTTTAATTTGGGATGGAGAAAACTCTCTGGTGCCCTCGCGCCGCCCTCACGCGGCGGCTCAGGGGCGAAACCCTAGCCGTCGCCGCCCCTCTCCCCTCCTCCCTGCTTCGCCGCCGGCAATTCCGGGCGACGCGCTGGGATGGCGGCGGCGGGGCCATCTCTCTTGGCTCCATCTCGCCCCGGCGTAGGCATGGCGACAATGGCGGCTGGGCGGCGAGGTCGCGGCGGCGGGATGGTGAGGTCGCGTTGACGGCGTGGTGGTGGGGCTCTCTGCGGCGTCGGCAGCGCTGCGGAAGGGCTCCGCGCGGCTCCGGCGATGGCGTCGCCAGCTCCGATCGCCCCGCCAGATCTGGCCGGGGTGACGACGGCGGCGCGGCGGTGGGGCTCTGTGCGGCCGGCGACAGGCTCGGTCGATGCCGGCGCCTTCGGGCGTTGGCAGGTGGCCTGCAGCTCCCGCGCGGTTTCGTCGGCGATGACGGCATCGGGTCGGCGGCGGCTCGTCCGGTTGGCCGGCGGAGCGCGCCCCGGCGCCGACTGCCGCGTGGTCCTGGCCGGGGGCAGCAGGCCTGCTGCGGCTTTTGCCGGCTGCGGGGACGGCGCATCCATCCTCTTGTTCCTCTAGATCCGGTTCTCCCCTTCTTCAGTGGTTGTTCTTCCGGTGCTCTCTAGCGGTGTGGCACCCGCTCCATTCTTCTCAGGTGCTCCTCCCTTCTTAGGCTAGGCTGCTTCCAGTCGATGCCGGGGAGCTTCTTGGTAGGGGTGGCGTGCGGATTTTCGGCGTCCTGTTCGCTGGTCATCGGCCGCGCTGTTAGTTTGCTCCAGCTGGGTTCCTGGGTGTGAGGTGGTCTCTGGTCGAGCTGCAGGTGATTGGTTGTTGAGGCGGAGTTGGAGCTGCTTGTCTTGCAAGCTTGGCAACGATGACCCTCAGTGAACGTCCCGGCAATGCGGCGAGGGTTTGGAAGTGGAGCCTTTTGAGAGAGCCTCGGGTGAAAACCTTGCCTAGTGCTATCCTAGGTTGATGATATCGACGCTTGCGGGCGCCGTTTTCTCCTTGGAGGTATTGTCATGCTGGCTCTCTCTTCCTTCAGGTGAAAACCGGGTTCCTTTCGGAACGGGCGTTGACAGCATCCTTGATGTTGCTCCCTTGTTGAAGGCTTCGCTCAGAAGGTTTATGCTCCACTAGAGGATGTTTGGTGGTTCTGGAGACCTCGTTTGCATTATGTTGTTCAAGCTGCTTGCCTTTTGGTAAGCTTGGTAACGACGACTTTTGTGAGGTCTCTTTAGTTGTTTCTTTTCCTTTTTTGTATAGGTTTTTGTCGGTTGTCCGTTTAATTAACCGTGCTTGTTTGGTTTTCGGGCCCGGTTTCCCTTATTAACTGGGCCAATTCTCTTCTTCTATAAATTCCGGCAGGAGAAACTCCTGTCGTCGGTTCCTCTAAAAAAAATTGGGATGGAGGGAATAGCAAACTTAGATACTAGCTAGCTGGTTTGCACAAAGTGAAACATGAGGAGCCACGGTGAATCAGGGATGAAACTCGAGAGAAAAAAAATTGGCTGTGTATTCTCCCTTGAATGTAAATTGTATAGGTAAGATAAAGTGATAAACCATAGAACACATTTAGGTGCCATGCCGGGAGCTTATATATAGTAATCACTTGCAAATTAAAATCCAAGTTTTTGGGTACAATACAACAAGAGCTAGCTAATAATTCACTAATACTACGCGACAACTTTAAAAAGATGATTATTGTGATTTGGCAATTGCAAGGGAAGCTGCTTGCATGTGTACCAAACTAGGTAGATCTAGATCACCATGAGTTCATCACTGGCAAATTACGTTCGTACGTACTACCTGAAGAGCAGTGGGGAAAAACTGATCAGTTGATCTCTATCACTTCCAGCCGGCACCATTCCATGGCTGCGGAGACGACTCATCATAGTCGCCATAGGATCCATAGTTACGCATAATTGTGGACATGATTCTTGTGCTCTCATCAATGGAGGGAACTTCTTCTTCTTCCTCTTCCTTCAAGATCGGCGCGCCGACATGAGAATCCATTAATGATGAGGAAATGGATGCTTTTGTGAAGTCGAGCACTTGGGAATTAGTACTGCTTGAACTGGGCTGATCTTGGAACACTGTATTGCATGTATGCTCGTTGGTGAGGGTGACCCTGAACTCTGGGGGATGTTTGTTGTTTTCTTGCTGCACATATTTCTTTGCTTGACACTTTCGCTCATCACTGTAACCACATCTGTAGTATAACCTGCAAATTGTGTAGTGCATGAATTGATATAAACATATAATTATGCATGTCAGACTATATCATCAGTTTTATATATAGTTGATACACATTTATTTCCAAGAAAGCACAAACGGAATGAATGCCCATTCAATAAGTAAAAACCAATTAATTGTGAGACTTCATGTACATGTGCACGAAAAATGCAGTGAACGAATTGAACTAGCACACCATTCTTTCGGCACATTCTCGTCGTAGTCTAAACTCTGAACATTTACAGTTGTGAGAACTAGTTGATTGATTTTTGTGTGACTAATTGGACTTCAGCCAAACTTTCATACGTCTATGCATGCACCGCACTTAACGGTACATGTCTCCATGCATGTGATTTTTCAGTATAATCCTTTTATTTAAATGAAATACCTTCAAAACATACTAATGAACAATATTAATTTTAGTTAAAAAAAGATGTCTACAATCTTTGCTCACTAAAATTTCCTTGTCCTATTCAGTTACTAAGAACTGCACTTATTTTCCCTAAAAAAAAAGAACTGCACTTTTTTTAAGATAATAAAAGTTCTTAATGAACTTAGTCAATTACAACTGCACACAAATCATATGATCATAGCACTACAGGAATTTAAGGAAAGAGTTGGTATCTCACTCTACTTTTCATAATTATCACTCTACTTCAAATAATATAATTGTTCTATAAGTGTATTTGCAAAGGTCACTTACCCAGATTTTCTATATTTTTGGCCCATTTACACCTCGAAAAACAAGTAGAACCATTTCCCAATAATTAGAAGCATATATACCATTATTCCGACAAAAGTATTAATGTAATAAAAACATGAGTATCATACTACATATATTTTGCTATTTGCAATTATATATAAACCGACCATTTCAAAGGAAAGGTAGGTTCATTTCTGCTCACCCAATATGAGATATATGCACACAATCCTTAAATTAGAGCTAGCTATGACACACGCACACACATCTAAAATACATCCTGATATTTCTCCGAGGACACACCTTAGTGTTCTTGTTGTGACACGTCTGCTGGCACTCTATATGTATGCTACTAATTACCTAGGTAATACTCCTTTATTATAAGGTGCTACAGAGAGCTAGCTAGAATTAATTCCTGCAGTATTAATTCTTTTTTTTGAATAAAAGGGAATTATCAACCCATGTTTGAATTTTGATTAAGGTAATGCTAAATCTTCAGAAATTGAATCAAAGAAAAGTCCATCAGAACTTCATGAATTGATGGTTACTTTCGAAATTCACTGTTGAGGATATTCTTCTCGCCATATTTCCTCCAGTGAAACCCATCATTTTCTGGTGTCGTAGTAATGAATACCGTCTCGCTGAAACAAAAAAGGAAGACAAAATAAATCATGCACTTAACTTGTTAACAAGTTTCCTAACCATGAAATATAGATCCAGCCAGTGCTACTCGAGAAAAGCAAGCATACGAGGCTCCCAAATAATCCGAATGGGGCAGAACAATATCCAGCTTGCTAAAAACCTTTTAGTGTCCTCTAAGTATAATAGATCTAGGCTTCTTTCGGCATAGACTATTAACAGCTCCATTTCTTTTCCCCCTCAAAGCAAGCTAATAATTAGAGACAACAAGGAAATTAAGCTGATTAATCAGTCACTCAAGCTCAAATGGAACACACACACACACACAGATCTGCCGGCCGGTTGCCGGTTGATGGGGTTCTTAAATCTTAATTATCTAGTCCATTAATTAGTCCCATATATATGTATTGCCAGTGGTAGCATGCAGAAGAGAAGAAATCGAACACACATAAGTAGTTTTCGGCACTCACATGAGCTCCTCGCCATGCTTGCCTCGCCGGCGCTTCGTCTTTCTTTCGCCGCCGGCGCCGGAGACGGAGGTGACAGCAGCTGGCCCAGCGCCGCCGGATGAGGAGGAGGAGCCGCAGTAGTAGTGCTCCCTCCTCTCGGACCGGAGGGCGTAGAGCGAGGAGCTGAGGGACATGGAGAGGCTCCTCACGTTGGCCAGCGCGTCGTCGCGGCGGCCGTCGAGCTCCCGCTCCGGGATGAGCTCCAGCTGCGCCATGAGCTGCGTCGCCAGCTCGCTGCCCTTGCTGAGCTCCTGGATGGCAGCGTCCCTTTGGTCGCCGGGCGGCGGCGGCGGCGGCGACGGCGACCTCTCGGACTTTGGCAGGCGCCTCGCCATTGGGGATCGATAGATTGGGCAGCGCAGCTAGCTGGCTGAGGTGTACCCCTTCAGTAGGTGGAGACGATGTGAACTTTGGTTTGGACTAGGGGTGTCCTTTTCTGGATACTTGTGTACTGGCTTAGTAGAAGCAGCTATCTATAGAGGCTCTGATCTTGGGTTCAATTCAAGTTGTTCAACCATTGACCAGGTAAATATTCGATGAGATGTGTGTAAGGAGTTTAACCTTTTTAAGCTAATACTCCCTCCGTTCCACAATATAAGGGATTTTGAGTTTTTTCTTGCAACGTTTGACCACTCGTCTTATTCAATTTTTTTTGCAAATATAAAAAACGAAAAGTTGTGCTTAAAGTACTATAGATAATAAAGTAAGTCACAAATAAAATGAATAATAATTTCAAAAAAAATTGAATAAGACGAGTGGTCAAACGTTGCAAGTAAAAACTCAAAATCCCTTATATTATGGGACGGAGGGAGTAGCACACACAAAGACAGCAACACTTCAAAAATGTACTCTTTTCGTCCCATAATATAAGAGATTATATGTCATTTGAACTTGCTGTAAAATATAAGGGATTTTGTAATCCCGAGATAATACTTTATTCTTCGTCTATCATCTTTTATACTAGTTTAGGGGGGTGTTTGGAAGAGAGGGACTAAACTTTAGTCCTCTCGGACTAAAGTTTTGGAGAGAGGTTTAGTCCCTCTCTCCCAAACATCCCCTTATTCACCTACCCATTATCTTTTGTACTCCACTAGTTTATTCTTCTGCACCCACTAATTATTACTACTTTATTCTTTCAAAGTTTTATGTGAGGTTAGCTCGGCCATGCCTCTACATGTATGGGTGCGGGTGTGCGCATTAAAAGAGAGGGATTTTTTTTCTCGAAGAGGCACCAGACATATGATATACTTTGTATTAAGTAGTAACTATTAATTTATAAAGCTGAGGCATGGACAATAAACACGGGTTCATACAACGTCTTCCGTCTTTTTTAATCATGCTATAAATTCAATGTTGCTGTAAGAAAATACTACATTGTCATACACTATACATCTCCATAGGTATCATGAGGTCGTTTTCCTTGAAATCAAAATTTTAAAAAAATGTCAAAGCTACAAAAATTCTTCATTGCGGACAAAACGTTATTTCCCATTGAACAAAGTCAATGCAAGATCGAACTTAGATTCAAAGATGGCACCTATAGGAATATATTGAGCAATGCTATCAACATCCATCTTACCTCCATTATATAAAAAAAAACATCCATCTTACCTCAAGAAAGCACATTACTAACAAGTTGTCTTTTGGTGGAAGATGAATTTAACAAAATCATATGTCAATGTTGGTGAAAAGAAAACAAATTTGTACATAGTGGTCCAAAAATAAAAGAAGAGGAAAACAATACATTATTTTAAAGTATCCCTTCCCTACCCACCCATCAATACTACTACTGTTTTTCTATTAATAAGAGAAACTTTGAAATTTTTTTCTCCATTTCATTTATTGTGGGAAAGAGGGAGTACATTTAAGTACATACTCCCTCTATCTAAAATTTTATTTTCCATTTTTTTTCTAAAGGAGATGTTCATATTGGTAGTCGTCATGCATCCAAGACTTAAATGAAGATATTGTCTCTTTGTTTCGCCGTGCTAGATTAAATTGCTAACAAGAATCTAATCAACCATCTTAATACTCGTTGGTTGCATGTGTTCATTTTTTTTTATCTTTGTTACATGCAAATAATTTGATTTATTGGTTTTGATGACAAAAGAACTATGCCTTAGAGTTTTGGACGGAGGGAATACATCACAATTTCGGTGGGCTCACAAGATTTTACTCCAGTTTTTCCTAGTTGGCTTAAACTATATAAAGTATGGATCCCATGTCGTATGTACCTGATTTCAACCTCACGTTCGAGCTAGCTATTATTGTCATCGTTGTCTTTAGTGCAAAAGATACTTAATTTGTAGATCATGGATATATAAAAGGCTAAAAATGAACTTATTTGCTGGAGAGAAGAAAATAAACTCTAAAAATCAATTTATTTTGAGACGGATGGATTTAGCTTGTGTGTAACACCATGGTGAGCACGAGCCTCATAGCATACCATCCCCCAATTAAGTGAACATCATAATTTGAACCGATGATGTGCCATGCATGCCATCCCCCAAGTGACTATCGTCACCATCCAGCCATCCAGATTCCAGAGACAATCATCTCTTTCTTCTCAACATTAACAATATATTGGGCCGGCCGGTGTACTTATCCAGACCACCTAGCCCTATCCACGTTCTCCAAAAAAAAAAAACCTAGCCCTATACACTAAAACATAGAAGAATACATCAGGTGCTTTCCATTTCCACCACCTCTCTGCGTCAGGCCCTGGACGTCAGCACAGGCAGCGTGAGCGGCGTGACGTACGCTCCCTCATCGTCGTCCACCCGGCAGCCGCGCGTGAGGTTTTTGCAGCGAAAACAATAGGTTTTTCCCCGGTTTGTGCTTGACTCTTAACGGTATCCGTCATATCAGGTGTGGCCTTTTGATTTTTGATACTGGTGAACGGGCGTTCTACGCGCTCGTACGTGGTGATCGATATACGCAAAGCGCGTCGTTCGTCCCCGACAGCCACCACATGGTTTCACACTACTCTACTCGACTCCGTTTGGATGAGCTTTTGCGGAATCTGGGCAGCAACAGCAACGAGCTGGAAAGCATCTTTAATTTTTCTGAGGTGCGTCAATGGCGGCAGATTCACCGGATCTAGCAGGCGGAGGCCAAGTGGATAGATATGAGCCGAGGACAAGTACGTACAGTGCCTGCTGCTATTTGGTTCGTGTTGGGTTTTTCTCGAACTACGTATTCCAACCACCGGTTGCATTCCACGGTTGACACGTATGGAGTATGAACATCTATCAATCAATCAATCTATTCTATTATATTATTAAGTCAGCTCGAAAATAAGTCACCACGTTTACTGGGGAGGCTAGAAATTCCCACGTTAATGGAAGAAAAAGAAAAGAAGAGTCCAAGTAGAAATACAATCTAAAAATAGCTGAAATTCGGAATTAAAATATACAATATGAAAAGAGAAGTCCATATAGGAACCCAATACGTGATTAATTAAAATTCGGGATAATAATAAAATAAATATCAAAATTAGAAAAAGAAAAAAGAAGAGTTTGAGTAGGAATACAATTTATAAATAACTGAAATTCAGAATTAAAAATAAGAAATATTGAAAGAAGAGTCCATACAAGAATCTAATACGAGATTAATTAAAATTCGGAATAAAAGATAAAAAAAATCAAAATTAGAAAAAAGAAAAGAAAATAAGAGTTTAAGTAGTAATACAATTTAAAATTAACTTAAATTCAGAATTAAATATAAACAATATTGAAATAAGAGTACATATAAGAACCCAATAGCAGATTAATTAAAATTTATAATAATAAATAAATAAATAATCTGAAATTAGGCAAATTAAAAGAGAGAGTTAAAGTAGGAATACAATTTTGAAACAACAGAGATTGAAAATAAAAAAAATAAAAATATCAAAAGAACATAATAATAAATAAAATAAATTCTGAAATTAGAAAAAGAAAAAAAAATTCAACTAGGAGTACAATTTATAAATAACTAAAATAGGTGATAAAAAATAAGACTATTGAAAGAAAAGACCATCTAAAACATATGACGAGATTAATTAAGTAACAATCCTATAGAGGAGCAAAGTGGTGGCGGTTGATGAACTTCTAGAAAGTAAAAAAATAAACCCCAATGATAATCATATTTGATTTTTAAAATCTCAATTACAATAAAAATGAGAGGCAGCGGGCGGGTCGTGTAGGAGTACAATGGTAGAGCCGCCGATGATTGGTGGGTTTTCTAGAAAGTAAAAAATAAATTCTAACAATAGTTATGTTCGACTTTTACAGTCCCAATGATAATAAAGATTATGCGATGGACAGGTCGTAGAGAAGTATAGTGGCAACATTTGACGGAATTTCTAAAAATTATAAAAAACATGAAACCCAACGAGACAATAAAACTCACAATAAAACTCTAAAAACAATAAGGTTCAATTTTTAAAGGTTCGGGCTTCTAAAAGTAAAAAAAATAAACCCCAATAATAATCATGTTTGATTTTAAAATCTCAATGACAATAAAGAATGGTGGCAACGGGTGAGCCGTAGAGGAGTATAGTGACAAAGTCGCCGACTTTTTGGCGGAACTTCAAGAAAGTAAAAAAAATGAAACTTCTAGAAAGTAAAAAAAATGAACCTAAACGATAATTATGTTCGATTTTTAAAATAGCATTGACAATAAAAAGAAGATGCAGTGGACGGTTGTAGAGGAGTATAATGGCAGCATTTGACGGGACTTCTAAAAATTATAAAAAAGAAACCCAACAGGACAATAAACTCTATAAGTTTTTAGATCCAATTTTTAAAGGTTCCAAGGAAAATGAACAAAGCTAATAAAAAATAATATAACAGAAGTAGGGGGTAGCAACTAATGTGTCTTTTAAAAACTATAAAATTAGAAATAGGAGGATGATAAGATTTGGTTTTTCAAAATCTTAAGACAACGAGATAACTATTTAATAAATTTGAAATAAAATCATATTAAAATATATATAATTTTATATTGGTGCTAGCAGTGCAATTGCGCGGGTCACCCAGCTAGTTATATTATTAAAACAGCTTTGAAAGGAGTCACCACGTTCGCTGTGGGGGCTAGAAATTCCCACATTAATCCGAGAAAAAGAAAAAAAAGAAAATGGAGAGTCCAAGTAGAAGTACAATTTAAAAATAGCTGAAATTCGGAATTAAAAATAAGCAATATTAAAAGAAATTTCCATATAAGAACCCAATACGAGATTAATTAAAATTCGAAATAAAAATAAAATAAAATCCAAAATTAGAAAAGGAAAGGAGAGTCCAAGTAGAAATATAATTTAAAAATATTTGAAATTCGGAATTAAAAATAAGGAATATTGAAATAAGTTTCCATATAAGAACCAAATACGAGATTAATCAAAAATTGAAATAAAAATAAAATAAAATCCAAAATTAGAAAAGGAAATGAGAGTCCAAGTAGGAATACAATTTAAAAAT